TAGCTTAAATGTAAAGAATGAAATTAATTTTCATTCGCATGTGTAAAGCGATTGTAGGTTGTAATTGAGTCGTGCGGGAGTGGGTTTAGTTTGTAAGTCGCTGCCGAGCGTCCCTTAGAGCGGATGTAAATTATTTGCCCACAATAAACCTATGAAAAACCCTTTTGTAACCTTTATGTTGTAAATATTTGGTATGTTGTCTAAGTATTTGTAATAAAGACATCTTACCACTTTGGTTGTTTTAATTATTTCCCTCCTTACTTTCCCATATTTGATTTAAGAATAACATTTATTTGCAGTGGTTTATATACCTGATTTGTAGCACAGATCATTTTAAAACTATGTGACGACGGTTATCAAACGCATCGATGATGAAATCGAATAACCATTTATTTGTGATGAAAATCAATTTATTTTGTCAAAATTTCCTTCTATCTTATTTTGTATGTAATGTACAAAAATAAAATTTAAAGTAGCCGATACAAATGGCGTCTTACGTGATATACTTTTGGTCGCTTCGATTACTGAATGCGGTGATGTGTCATTTTTAAAGTCTTCCAGGGTAATGTTAGGTCGGCGAAATATGTTATCGGAGATATTTTCATCCACAAATTCGTTACTTGCGAAATTTTCATTGCTGTTAATATTGCTTATAACAGAACCGTTCGTTAATTCTTTAGTAATAATATTCTGTAAAGGAACATCTGTGTCGTGTATTTCACGATTTATATCATTATTTGATTTCACAGAATTATAAATATAACTCGGTGTAGTTAAAATTGTGTCTTTAGGATTTTCTGATGTTTTATTTGCTTTAGATAGAGATTCATTGTGTTTTCTTGACATGAGATCATTGTTATTGTATTTTAAAACATAAGACATCGGTCCTGTATCACTTTCATTTGTCGGTTTTGTATTTTTAATCACAAAATCTGTTTTATTTGACAGCTGCTGTTTTTTTAAATTATCATTCAGTTGTTTTATTGTCGTATATTCAATGTTCTCGTCGTTTAAGTTTTTTTCATTTGAGTGTGATTTTTTACCAATTTCTTCAACTGCGGTATTTTTATTTCCTTTATTTTTCATATATCCATGTTTATCTTTTAAGGTAACACTGTCGTTTACACTCGATGATACGTTGGATTTGATAGAAAAATGGACCGTTGATTTCATGGGGACAGTATCATTAGTAATCTCATCAAACTGTCTTCGTAAAACTAATTTCGGCTTCCTTATTTCAAAGGGGTGTTTTTTAGATCGTGCTGTATAGTTTTTGTGTTTACCAACATCAACTTCTGTTTCATTACGTTCCTTTTTACATTTTAATTCCTTCGATTGTCTTTCATAAGTCTTGCAGTTCAATGAAATATGATTGTCAATTTCTTGAGTTTCTTTCTGAACTCTGGGAATTGGTTTTTGTACTAAATAAGAATTTTCTAAATATGGTATCATTTGGATTGGATAGGTAACGGCTCGTTCGTAGTCATTTTGTGGAAGACTCATAGGTTGAGCATCAGTTAATATAGAGTATGGTAGAGACACAAAACTTGAGAGCATCTCGTTTGTTGTAGAACAATCGCATCGTGTATCCAGTTCAGTTTGCTTTGAGTAAAATCTAAAAAAGTTAATTACGTTACATAAATTTTATTAATTTTCTATATATATCGTTTACAAAGATATTAAATTACATATTAAAGTATGATTAATGATATATTTTTATTCTTATATAAATTAGATAATTTAAAATAATACTATATACTAAAAGTAAATCAAACTAAAAATAAAACAATAATATAAAAAATCGCTGCAGTCGCACGGTAGGGTTCCCAAGAGGCTGGCGGCATTTCCCCGTTGGATGGCCAGGCTCAACCTTTGCTTGAAATGCGCGCCAGCCCTTGGATCCCCTGAGGCGTCGATGAGGCGTGCGGAAATCTCTTTAAACAGGCGACGGCCTTCCGCACCCCAAGGTCTCAATTTAAAATTAATTTTGGTAAAATGAGAAGTAGAAATTTCTCTAGTCGTACTTCTGCCTTATCGTTTTTTCTCGGATACATTGCTGTAAGCGCCATGTAGCGGTGGATCTAATTAAACATTTATATTAATTGCACTTAATATATTTCTAGTAATTTTAATCTGCATTTTTATTTCCAAGGAAATGTAAATAAAAGGAAGGTACTCAATAATTTTAGAATTGTCAAAATTAAGGAAGGTAATTTAACCGTTTATACGCTACGTCCGGACGTTAAATGTGCGAAATAAAGGAGAGTCTATTAAAAATACAGTATGTATAAATAAGTTTAAATGATAGTAATCATACTGGTTGAACTTACATATAAAAACAATATTCGAAGCAGTATTGTTGAGACAAAACTGTCTCGCTCAGCAAGACTTTCAGTGCGACAAGTGTAAATAAATGTATGATATACATTTCAAACAACAAGACTACCGATGGTTCGTAGTTAGTTTGTGATATGTTGATTACTTTTTAAAACCTGGTGAGTTAATTAACATTGCTAATAGCATTAAGCACGCCCAGCGATTTGTCACATAGTCGTACTCAATTTCCCTCTAAAGCATAACGCTCGATGCTTCCATCACATTAAAAGAGTTACATCTGGTTTGGGCCCTATCAGAGATGTAACTCTTTTCGTCACATGTGTCCTTCTGCCGTTAGATAGACATCTTCGTTTATTATTACTCGAAATTAATTAATGAATACTTAAATTTTAACCAAAAACTTATCGAACCTTGTAACCACATCATTATTGGCTATGCGTCCTCAATGAGGAGCACGAAGCCTACCCTAAGTTAAGGTTAATTATTTAAAACTGGTGATGATAGAAATTATTAATTAATTTATAAAGAACAAGCAGCTACCCGCGACTTTATCATCAAATCAATCTCTTCAATAGTTTGGACTCTATTTAATGCTATCAAAGAAATCTTTCCTATATATATGGTTAGTGTAGATTAATTAAATTAAATAAAACACTTATAAAAGTTTCTATTTTTTGATAGTTTATTTGTAGTTTTTTTTGTAAACTTTGCAGTATTTATTTTACAATTGTAGCAAACAATAACTGTACTCGATTCGATTTTAGTATTTGTCTTATCAAAATCGGTCAATTCGCTGCGAAGTTTCTGATTTGCACTAGCGGCTCGCGCCCGGCGTCGTTTATTTCAATAATTGATTTAAGATACTTAAGCATTATTCATAAAAAACACAATTAATTATTTTAAAATGATATTAAAATCTCATACGAACAAGAGACAGACGGAAAATTTGAAAGAAACTTTGGTTAGAGAAATAGGTTCAGATGATGCTTCTGCCTCGTAACCTAAAATAAACATAGTAGAACAAAGTTTTGGTGATATCATGGGACCTATTTATACCTGCAACAACTGCACCACGAAATGAGCATATTTTTTAATTCCAGTGACGGGCAATCGTAGATAAATAAAATGTAAAAAAATATTACACGGTAAGCATTCTTGTTGGGTCAAAGGCCAGTTATACTAAAGTGTTTCATATTAAAACGGCCGGAAAACGAGCAATTTTCTACTCTTATATTATTTTGGTTATATGTTCGTAATATTATAAATGCGAATGTTTAGATGGATGGATGTTTGATTGAAGGTATCTCCAGAATGGATGTATGGATCTCTCTGAAATTTGTCTTAGATGTAGAACGATGTCGGGAAGAACACATAGGCTACTAATGTATTATAGTTTTTTGTAAATACCGCGTCGACGGAGTCGCGGCCGACAGCTAGTCAATTATATTAATAAGTTTGTCTGAAGATGATATATTTGACGTCTGAATCAAAATTTATCGAAAACAAAGCACGCAACACGGACAATGTCTAGTAAAGGTACGCGACCATTGTCCCACACCGGACGCACCGCACGCCCGGATAAAATGGATTTACTTTGTCTTTCGAAAACGGGTGGTGCAGATGATGGATGGTAGTGCTATGTCAAATCATGCAAAAAAAAAACTAAAATCCGTTGCTGACCGTGCGTGCGGTGCGTCAGGCGCGGGACAATGAAGGCGTACTGTAAGGCAACGCTAAAAGAACCCTGGGTGTCGGGTATTATTACAATGATAAGAAAACTATAAGTCCTCATGACTAAGTATAAATATATTTGACCATTGTTTAAGATAACCAAAACATTAACTATAGTTAATATAACCTTAACTGTTGTAGGTATTAATAAAATATTTATTATTCAGTCACTATTCTTTGGTAAAATGCTTAGTTCGTTTTACTAGTTAATTTAATACTTGTAATAACAAAATGATTGGGTTTCAGTGACGTCAATGCTTGCTTTTATTCCATTGATGGTGATTTAACGTAATGAGACAGTCATTGGAGGATAACTCAGAATATTATTTAATTTTTAAACCGTCCGAATCATGCAGAGAAACAGTTTATTGGACCTTTTCATATGTCTACGGGTAAGTATAAAACTTGTAACTATTTTAAGTAAGCTATGAATTGACAATGTATGGGTTAAGTTAAAAAATCTTATTCTCTTTGAAATGTGATATTCCATAGAGCTTTTTTCTAGTACAATATTTTGTACATTGTTTATATTTAAATCTAGCTCGCAACTTCATCAGCTGCGAATAAAAAAAAATGTATTGATAACTTCCTTCTTTTTGAAGTCTGCCGAAAATAGCTTATGTTACTCAGGTATTTTCCAATAAAGAACCCCTCAAAATTAGTCGAGCCGTTTCGGAGAAGATACGGAAACTTGCGGACAAACAGACAGACAAACGGACGTACTGACGGATAGACAGACAGACATTAAGTGTTTGTATGGCAACTAAAGATTCGAACAGCATTTATGACTAGCCGTTCGGAGCTCTAGCTGCCGACTGACTCGACCTGTCGCTCTTCCTACGGGTACTTTAAATCAGGGTTACCTTGGCGCATGCGTGAAGTGCGCGCGCAATTCTGCTCATGCCGTCACACCCTGACGACGGACACGTGAACGAATAATTTCAGGCACCATATTGCTTTGGTTATAAAATGCAAATTATATGAATATGTTGCATTGAACAGTGTTGCGGCCGACAGTCGGAGCCGGGCGCGCCGCCGCGAGTCATGAGCTCCCCCAAGCTTGGCGACCGCTGCCCCAGCGGCCTGGCCAACGCCAAGCTCACCAACGACTCAAAGGAGGATTCCCTTGACAACTCTGTAAATATATCCACCATTATTGTGCGCTGAAAACATTCATACATACAAAGGTCTAGGGAATTGCACTTTTCGGTGTAGAATGTGCTCTAACAAAAACAATTTCTTGCATTTCTCACTATTAATGCATTCTTATTTGTGAACGTACATATTTTTATCTCTATAATAACATGCAAATTTAGCGATAACTTCACGTGGGGTGGTTGTATCTTAGCCAAATTTTATTTGAAACTCGAAAATAAGATATTTCTTGTAAAATATTAAAAGATGTTGTTGCACAAATATGGCACATTTTTTAATCAATAAAATTATTTAAAAATCTGCTATTGTATTATAGATAAGGGAGTCGATAAAGTGTGAGCGAGGCAAGGGCGAGGAGGACTGGCGACGGCGCACCATCATCGTCGAGAAGAAGAACGGCTCATACGGCTTCACTCTGCAGAGCTACGGCATACACTACAAAAAGGTAAATAACATAATGAAAATGGTGAAATATTAATTCAGCTTAAAAATATGTGTTAATGCCATAATTTTATATATTTCAGGAAGGTGAGATCGAGGTAATAACATACGTGGAGCAGGTGGAAACGCAGGGCGCGGCGGCGGCGGCGGGCATGCGCGAAGGTGACGTCATTCTCTCCATCAACGGCGTCGACGTGGAGCATGCTGACCACGCCGCCATCGTCGACGCCATCAACAGCTGCGACTCTAGAATGCGCATAGTCGTCATCTTCGAGGACTGCGTGCGGAAGGTTGAGCTCCATCTCAAGTACATCAATATACAGAGAGCCTTGCAAGCCAAGACACGGGAACTGGAACAGCTCAACGCCAGGGAGAGACAAATATTCGACGCCAACTGGAAGACGCACAGTCTGCCGTCGCAAAAAAAGAAATCGTCACCATCGGACGTCATCTCGGATAGCGAGGAGAACAACGTAGCCGAAAACGGTGGATACTGCCGGCCGACGCTGTCCAGCGAGAACGTGACGAACACCAAGCCGGCCACCGGCAGCGTGTTCATGTACCGGTACCTAGACCCGCGGTACGGCACCTGCATCATCCGGCCCGACCTGCGCACCGGTAGCTTCGTTATCACTGTGGGCTCGCCGCGCAACAGGCGCGACTGCCACCACTGCGTCATCGAGAACTCGGGCGACACTCACCGAGCTTCCGAAGTCTACACGACCAGCAACGGAAAACACACCAAGGTCCACCGAAACAACCACAGCCACGGCTGCGGACCCTGTATGCCACCTTACAATAACCAGGACGCGAACAGTCTCGAGGCGTACGACTTAGCTAGCCCGTGTTGCGATCCACATTGTGTTCCTAACTCCAGAAAGAAGGTGAGAAGGAAAAAAGAATGCTCGAAGGAGCACAAGAGGAAAGAAAAATGCCATCAAGTCGATAAGTCGACTCAAAAGACAGAAAATTGTGGTCACACGCACTCGAAGAAAACGTGTAACTCGGGTCATTGCGCCGGCCGCTACCGCTATCTGACTAGCGAGTCGACGCAGACCAGCCGGTGCAGCTTGCAGTCGTACACGGCTAGTGACGCCACCGCGCCCTGCGACAACTCCGCTTCCAGCTATAGCACCTCGCTCAGCAGTGACACGCTCTTCTGGGACAACGACCGCTCCGAGGCCAAGGCCTCCCCCAAGATACAGTACCAGAGCTCTCACCAGCACGTAAAGCCGAAGTCGTGGGATAATTTGACCACAAAAGCATTTGGCGGCTACGGCTTCGGGTACGGCTACCTCGACACTAGCGCCAAGCACTCGGGCAGGTCTAAGAGCCACGGGCGTAGTCACAGCGGGCGCAGCACTCAGACCCACCACGAGTATCAGCAACAATCGCAGGAGAAGCATCAACAGCGGCAGAGCGGCACACCGCACCACTACCCCGTGTGCAGTAGGAGCCGGAGTCACTTTCAACCGACCAAGTCCCAGGAGAGCTTGATGGTGCCCAAGTACAAGCTTGAGAGCGGCGGGTCAGAGAGCCGGCTGGCATGCGAGTGCGCTGACACTGGGGAGTACTACCGGCGCGCAGGACCCACCGACAGCCCCGCGGAGCCCTGCAGCACTGGATACTATTCGCAAAGGTTCCTCTACCCCACGCATTCGTACAAAAAGAAAGAGTCTGCCGTCAGCTCAGAAATAACTAGATTATAAGCAATAATTGAAACGCACAATGCTCAATTTAACGCCTAAATGTTAGTTTAAATCGTCTTAGTATAGTGATGGTAACGTTTTAAATGTAAGTTAGCGGCTAGCGTCGTTAGTATTAAAAAAGCATAACCCCAATATGGAAGATACAGAGAGAGAAATGTTTTTGTTGTGTGAGTAGAGAGTGGAGCTAAGCAGATCCATGCATGTTTAGCAACAATTATGTTGTTTAGATCTACATCTAGTTATAGTTTAGTATTGTTTTAAACTGAAAAATGATATGAAACATAAAACGTTGGGTAACATTTTTATAGATTAAAGTTACTCGAGTCCAAATTGAAATGTCTGTTTTCACAACGAAGTTTTTAGTAAGCCGTCATGTCATTAGACAAATATTATAATGTTGTTCCGAGACACTTTGGCTGTTGATAATATTTAGTATGGACAAATAATTTGCTCAATATAAGTACTTAAATATACTTTTCTTTCACACTTAATAACTAAGAAATAGAAGCAGGGTGTGGCATGAACACACAAAATACGCACAAACAAATTAGATAGATAACCAATAGACTGTTGTATTCAGCCATTGAAATGTACTTATTACTTTCAGGAAATAAAATTATGCTTTAATATTGTGTAGTGACGAGATAAAAGTAGATTTTAGATGTAATATTGTTGAGTCTGTTCGGTGCCGTAGTCTGCGCACCGCACGCACCAAATGCTTTATATTCCTTTATTTAGAGTTTTTATTAATAAAAATATTAAATTATTATTTAATTTGTTTTATTCATTTGTTCCTTTTTCATATTGATATTAATTAATGAGTTTATTAGGGATAATTAATTGATTCGAATACAATATCGAGGGTGCGATTGCCGAGTGGTGACACAACTCAGCATTAAGTTAATAAGTCGTTTGAGAGACGAGAAAATGGGGTTCTTCGTTTCTTTTCCTATTTACTTTGTCGTCGCGTACCTCTGTAACTCATTGCGATAGTGCAAATCTGTCGTATTATGTATTTATAGGTGAAGTGGCAAACCTGCATCGGATCGCTTTATATTAGTTAATCCAACGTCCGTGGACATCCGCGACATCAGAGAAACCGTACATGCTTTGTTGTCTAAATAAAATGGTAAAATTGTCAATGAAGTAAAATTCTAAGACAATTGCGAACTTAAAAAATTAGGCCACGAGCGATACAATCCTTGAATCGCAATCGCTTATCATTACTTCCTAGTGTGCGCACTCCGGCTATAGCAGAATTAGTTGCTATCGCCGAAATTGGGTGGGTGAACTTATATCTGTGAAGAGTTCATCTCGGGTCCTGGGGTCAGGCGGCGCGGGCGCAGCGGGCGGCGCGCTGGCAGCGCACACTGAGCTCGCCCGCCACACTGACGGCATGGGAGCTCCTGCGCGCGCCCCCGCGCCCCGCGCAACCCGCCTTCTGCTGCCGCTGCTGGTCCTGCTCGCCGCCGCAGCCTCAACTGCCACCAGACACCTACCCCTGCAGTACCAGGTCATTACAACATATATAGCCTGGCAAATTATTATGCTTCCCGAATTCTTTCGTCGGCGTTGATATCCCATTTTAATTGTCGAAATTAATCTTCGTTAACATTGCTATAAAAATGTCTCAATTCTAGCTTCAAATTATAAGAAGTCATGTTTGAATACATAGTATCTAGAGGTGTTATTAAAGTTGCAGCTAATGTTGTTACTTTGTTGTTAAATATGTTTAACATTACAGACGTACATATTGTGCAAGCAAACTTCTCACCCGTGTGTCGCCTTGCCCCTGCCCGCTGGACCTGAGGATGCTGGGGAGTGGGACCTCCCGGCTGCTGAGGCTTGCGGCATCTTGCAGACATCAGACATCGAAACGCCACCGGCCGACTATACGGTACATTTAATTTTCATATACATTTCAATTGCCAAGCGTTCAACTAACAAACTTCAGGTGAGTGAATTCAAATCACTCTGATATACTATTTCTCCATTTGGAATTGTTCGCTTAATTTTATACAATAAATTAGTTATGAAAGGAGAACTGATTCTCAGAGTTGGTTGCATACTTTTCGAAGCATAAAACAAGTTTGTTATTGATAAAAATTATTTTTACAAATGTATAACACTTAAAGCTATGCGAAAAATTATTGCTCATGCGATATTAGTTTGAATTAATAATGATTTGTTATACCGAAATGTCAAAATTTGCAATGTACACGGTATGGGTACGTCGATAAATGGATTTGGGTCGATGGATTTAATTGATACGTGAATGTATCCAAAGTTTTGTGACGCTCTGATTACTTAGTTATCTCGGTGTCACAACTCGGAGCGTCGTTCCCTTTCCTTATCATATACATCGCAGCTAAAATTGTTTTGTGTTATCAGCAACTTGACACAAACTTATTGTTATACAAGATTAATAATCTAGATCTCAGTGGTCACTTGTATCTGTTCGTTAAACAAAAGGTTTTTTTAATGATTAGTAAAATAGAAATAAAATTGCCCAATTATTATTTCCACTTTCCACAAATCTAATTTGTCATTGATTTATCTGTGGTATAACATTACCAAAAAGTCACAAGTACCATAAAAAAGTAAAATTGTAATTGAATTAGATGCTTTGAGCTTTTATTCAGTAATTTATATATTTTCTTGATCTTTGCGACTGAAGTGAAATATTGTTTCAATGTTCATATTATGTCTCATTTGTAGCATTCTCTTGTTGAACAAATTAAATAATGTTCACGTGAAATTTTAATCTACATAGCGTGTCCGGGAAAGACAGGCTGCTCCAAAAATACGACATCCGAACATCCTGTGGAACGTCTAAATTATTGAGAAAATTCTGTTGTTATTTTCATTTATCACTATAAAATAGAACTATTACTCGTGCGCTGAAACTTTGCCGATGGTCTCATCTTCAAACCTTCTGCACACGGCACGGACATGTAATATAAATATTTTAAAAGTACCTTTACGATATGCGACAGAGATCAACTGAAGATTGTTCTTTACTTTGTGGAAATAAAAAGTCTAAATTTTTTTTCAACATTGTCAAATCAAATTTAAAATTTAGTTAAAATAATAATTTGAAAGTAACAGTCATATTTATGTATGATAAGTTGTATCAACAAAGCTAGGCCCGTCTCCTTGACCTGTATTGTTGCGCAATTATAATCTAATACCCAAGTTTGTGACGATCGAATTATGTCAAGGAGTTTCATTACATATATTCATTTGTTACTACAGATAAAGGCGTTAGACAATGGAGAAGTTAGGAACGTGTTCTGCGATGCCGTGATTATAACAGAGGAGGTTGAAGCGAAGACGACGAGTGTTAGGGAGCATGGCCGCGTTCGCCGGCAGACGCCAGCAGCGCCCCGCGGCCGGTACCGTGGACAGACGCAGTCCCAATACCTCGCCGTGGACCGTGACGGCAAGGACGAGGGCAAGGCGGAGGCCCACTCGGCCGCTGATTCCTCGCGTGCCAGCGTCAGTGAGTAATCCACTCCACACGACTCCTGTTGTAAACTCATTTATACAATAATGCAATTGAAGTAGCTACCTATATATTATGTGCAACGTAAAAACAAGCTTGTATTATGTTAACAGGTGGTAATAGCGGAATGGGACAAGCGCAAAGTCAGTCAATGTACGAACCTTCGTGCGATGATTGTTATGGTAACGTCGACCCGCTAATGGCTGGTATGAAAAAGCAACCCCAAGGAACTTTTAGTGGATTCGGACCGGGACAAAACGGCGGATCTGGATGGGTTGGACCTCCCAGTGGCAGCTCTATAGGAACTTCTTACATGAACAATCAAAATGCTAGACCGGGCTTAGAAAGTTACGGAAGAGCTGAGCCGTCTGCACCGAGCTATGAGAGGGGATACGGTGTTCCAACTGGTGGAAACGGTTTAACTCCTGGGGGGGTAGTAGGTCCAACCCAAGGTCGAAATCAAAATGTCTACCCTAACTCGGGCGGTACGCCACTTAGTCAAGGAGCACCACAAAGTACATATCAGCCAGGATTAGGTGGTTCCATGACACAGTATGGGCCGAATCAGCAAGGAAATGGAGGATACGGCTCAAATCAGCAAGCTGGACCGAGGGATAATGCTAGACCGGGTGTAGGGAACAGATATGGTAGTGATTCAGGTGGTTATGGACCAGGACAAGTTGGAACTCCTGGGGGCGGTGGGAATTACCCTCCAGGAAGTCTGATGAGTGCACCAGGTCGAGGGGGTTTAGGTCCTGTACCACCAGGAGGTATTACAAGTAATGGTGCATCGCTGCCGAATCAAATCGGTGTACCGGGTCAATCCTATAATCAAATGGTGCAAAGAGGTCCCGATTACGGGCCAGGTGGCTCACCTCAAGGCATTTACGGACCTGGTCAAAGCGGTTCGCTTACACCAAACATCAATGGTGGACCACTGCAAGGTGGTTCTAACAATATCATCCCCGGTAATCAAGGGCAAAGCGGTACCTACAACCCCAAACAGACAGGTGTTCCGAATGGAGTCGGTGGTACTACATTAGGAGGTGTTACGAATCCTCAAGGTATAAATAGTAACCAAGGTGGCCTTCCTGGTTATGGTCCTAACCAGGGATCTGCAGGCGATAATTTGAATCCTGCCCAAGGAGGAAATTGGCCGATTGCATCATACAGTCCTGGTGGTTCACCTTATTTTTGTTGCGTCGTCGGCCCCGATGGTAAAATAGCACCTGTGGGAGGATCGCCATTTAATAGAGGCATAGGCAATCAGTATCTGAATCCCAATAATCAATATGGATATGGTGGGCAAATTCCGGGAAGTACAGATCAAAACAAAGGGCTAAGTAACATTCCAGGTCAAAGCCCTTACGGACTTAGTGGCTCTGGTAACGGTGTAAATAACTTAGGACTAGGACAAGGAAATAATTATGGTCCTAATCAAGGGCCTGGAAACTACATGACAGGATCAGGTCAAGTACCCCAAGGTGGACGTCCTGATCACAGTACGATGTCAGGTAGTGGAAATTACGTACCGAATTCAAATATAGGAAGTTACAGCCCTGGAACTACTGGAGGTGGCGGAAGTTTTGCACCAAATCTCATGGGTGTTGACCAAACAAGGCCTAATATAGGAGCAACTCCCATGGGTGGTACTGGTTATCACACGAATCAAAACTTAGGTCCAAACGCACCACATTCAGGTGTGAGCTACGGCCCGGTAGGCAATGGTGGGCCAGGATCTGGAGTGTATAATCCAACCGGAGGGACAGGAGAAACCAAACAATATATACCAGGGCAACTTAGTATTCCCGGTGGCGAGAATACTTATGTACATGGACAAGGAAGCGTGCCGATGGCTAATAGAAACTTCGGGTCGGGCTCACCCGGCGACAGTAGTAGTTATGTGCCAGGGCAAGACGGCAGACCAAGTACAAGCGGAAATTTCCGACCAGGACAGACTAATAATTTGGGTGGTGGTGGTTATGGTCCCGCCCAGGTTAGTGCTCCAGAAAATATTCGAAGTTACGAGCCAGGCCAAATTGTTGGTCCCGGAGGCGGTGGTTACAGGGTTAGTCCCGGTGATGGAACGGGATTTTATACCAACTACGGACCGCATCAAACTGGGGGACCGGGAGGGGGTGGTATCGGAACAGGTTCCGGTGTTAATCCTCAAAGTGGTGGAAGTTATGGACCAGGACAAACGAATGGAATAGGAGGTGGTATTATTGAACCCAATATGGGTAGCCATCCAGGTTCCACAGGAAACTTTGGCGCTGGTCAAAATGTTGGACCAGGAAACGTTGGTTATGGAAATTATGGCCCGGGACAAAACGGTGGATCTGGGGGATACATTCCGGGAACAACTAGCGGCATGGGTAATTATGGTTCAAGTGGTGCTGGTCAGGGTCAAAATGGTCCAGTTGGAGGGGGTCCTTATGGGCCTTATCATGGTGCCAATACTGGAGGTCAAGGGTCTTACCCCCCGGGACAATCTAATGTAGGCGGTATGGGAGGCTATCAGCCAAGTCAGGGTGGCAAACCTGGTGAGGGCTACGGTTCCCTTGGAGTACCTGGTGATGGTGGAAGATATACCAATGGACAACCTATTTACGGAACAGACTTTACAGACCGGTACGGAGGTGGCCCAGGTGGAAGTGGATATAATGCAAGGGTATTTATTTTTAATTACTTACGGAAAATAATTTAAATTACTTAAGAAAAAGTGATATTAAATGTATCTTTTTTGTTGCAGTACCCAGGAATAAACAATGATTACAATGGTAAGTTATTGGACTAAAAAACCAGATAAAAGCTTTAGTTTTTGTCCAAAATAATTTTAATCGAAATCCTATATGTCTCACTACATTTTTGAAAAACTAAAGGCAATGAAACAAAATCTGATTACTATCTTTATCGGTACCTGGCATTAGTTTTAAATAGTAATTATTTTCTTTTAGGCATTCCCCAAAATTTCACGGATGTGGGAAATCTTGCAGACGGAGATGATTCACAGGCTGAAGCGAGCGTTGCACAAGCCGCCAATGGCACAACAGCCAGCGCCACATCCAGGGGCGGCAACGACAAAGGCCGCGCTCAGACAAACGTACAGGGCACTTACACCGGAAGCGGTTCTTTCTCAGCCCAAGCACAAATAACTGGAGAAAACAAAGAAGCCGAAAGTCAAGTCACAGGAGGGAAAAAAGGGGCATCTAGTTCCGCACAAGGAAGTGGTCGGAATAACAAATCTCAAGCGAATGTGCAACTGGGCTCAGAAACGGGATCTGTCCAAACACAGTCTCTGACAAGTGGAGCGTATCATTCATCTAATTCCCAAGTTCAAGGGAGTGTAAAGGGTGGTATGGCTGACGCTCAGGCCCGTGGTCCGGGAAGCACTTCCTCACAGGCTCAAATTGGTTTTACACCATATAAAGATGGCGATAAATCTCACGACACGCAGAAGACACCATTCGTCGGCGGAGGCGTCGCTTCGGCTCAGTCGAGCGGGCGAACGGGACAGTCGCAATCACAACTCCATGGCACCTTTAAGTACGGTATCACATACAACGGAGCCGCACAGGCAGGCGCAAGCGTTGACAAAGATGCGGTGTTTCCAAATCGCTTGTCATTTGATAAAATAGATGTATTTGATGAAAGTGAAAAAAATATTAACGTCGATACTGAAAAACCAACCGAATTAGACGCACCAGCACCTGTCGACACCACTCCTTCTGTTGAATTGGTGCCATCAGAGGAATCTCTTCCACCGCTCGACGAAAGCTCGACGGACGGCGGGATGACAGCGTTGGATACAGATGACGCAGAAGACGAAACCGTGAAGGACGACGAGACGCTAAAGAATTCTGAAACAAGATACTCCAGTCATACTCACCTCGATCACCACAAGACAAACGTTGCGGCGGCTCCACCGGCCGCTACCGCCGGAGTCACTCGCTCCTTCCAATCGCGGTACGGAAGCAACGGTGGCGAATACGAGTACACAACGGACAGAGAGGACGCGCCGACCGACGAGTATGACACGGACGGAGCGGAAGAGGAACAGGGCGAATACAGCAATTACGATGACATACCAAGAGATCCGCTGACGCACCAGTCGCTGCAGGCGCCTCGTAAAACGCTTGACGTGCGGCAGACGACCGGCGGGAACACACAGCACATCGTGCTCGGCTCGCTCGTCGGCCACGACGCAGCCATCACACAGAAGAGCTCCGAGCGGCCCGATGAGAGCAGGACGTACCAGCCGGGGGAGCGGGTGCCGGGCACAGGCGGCTATACAATACCGGCGGGCTTCACGGGCAGCGTCAAGTCGGTCGCCTCGAAGGAGAAGACTTACGTAGTCGGGTCGCGCGAGTCACCGTCGCAGGCGCAGACGGTGACGTTGACGCCCGGCAGTGGGCGCGTCCGGTACGCTCCCCCAGCGGGCTACGGGCGGGTGGGTGCGAGTCAGCTGCGCTCGCTGGCGCCCCCGCGCGGTGACCCCTACGTTTCCGTGTCCAAGTCGGTGGCGCGCGACTTCGACGCGGACGACCACGTGCGCAAGCAGTACTCCCACTCCTACTACACCAAGTCCTCCTCGTGCGGCTTCTTCACCTTCACCTGCACCATGGTGAGCGGCGCCGAGGGCAAGAAGAAGGTCTGCCGCCCCAAGATACCCACTAACCCCGACGGCACGCCCATCAAGTGTTGACATTGCCTACAAAGTTAACGTATCATTATAACTTTAGTTCTATTTTATTATTAAGTAGATAATAATTAGTATTATGATTGTATAATTTCCGTAGCCAATTAACTATTCAAATGAGCGTATCAACATTTTGTACATGTCATACTTTGTCTATGTTGTCGATACAATAAATAAATAAATAAAAACTTCAGTTTAAATATATCGTATTAAATATAAACAACGTCGACAATAAAAGGCGCAAAGGGAAGTGATAAGATTTATTCATATATAATTTAGGTAGATTTATGTATCGCTTCAATATAATATGTTTATTGATTCACACTAATAAGTGAGATGGATAACAAGTAGTGCGCGCCCGCCATCCCCTCCACCTGTATATCATAAAAGGACATTTCTTAACTATTAATAGAATATTGAAGAAACTTACTTTGGTATTTATTTTGTGATCATTGGACTGTATACATAAAACTAGTTTTAGGAATAGGAACAATATGACGTGGCACACTTATCGTGTATTTTATTCAATATATTTTGATTCATATAAAATCTTAATAATAGTTGTGCAGAAGTAAATAAATACCTATGTAATTTTGTTTAGCACGTGGCGATTATCTGATAGATATCGTCAGGTGTGCTTTGCAAATACTTTATAAATAACATCTCAATACCAAAAAAGATTGCTAATAATATATTAAATAGGGTTCGCATAAATCACAACTTACACACAAATAGTGATTAAACGAGATGTGTAGGGAGGTCGAGGCGAGAGCGATGCGCGCACTTTCACATCAAAACAACAATTTTATTTAGGAAATACTATTTTTGTTACACTATATCCATAGAATCATTTAAAAAAACATGAAATTTTGTAAAGACAGTAATACGTAGAACACTTTAAAGTTTCTTACATTATATATTAATCATTTGCCTAAATCGACACATCTATGTAATAAATAAATTCTTGAAGTTCGATCTAGAACATGATTTATAGAAAAGAATATGTTTGAACTTTAACACGTGAGTCGGCGCGAGCGGGGGGTTGCGTGAGCGACGCCACGCCTCCAGCCACGCCCACCACGAAACATTCACAATAAATAGCTTTATTTACATTAAAATCTATGAACGAGATCCATGCAATAGTTCTCTTACTTATTATAATAGATGCACAATACTGGACGTCGCTGTTGCCACGCCTTCAGACACACAAAAACATATCCTCCACACACACACACACACACACACACACACACACCGCACACACACACAATGCGTTAAACATTGATAATATTTTTGTGATTAAAGCAAATGCCGAATACTGTATTTTCGTGGCTATAATGGAGCATGAATGGATAGGACGGAGCAAGTGGGCGAGTCGTCTGCCATTTTAAAATTCGTCACAGACAAAAAAAAATTGGCTATAACATTAGCTGCCCAACATCTCGTGACAATAAAATTAAAATATCAGATGAAACACAAAAATAAATTAAAATATTTGATAATTTAATGTGTTAGATAAACACAGCCACGCCCCCTAGTGTCCATCATCACGCCCCATAGTACGGCCGGTAAGTAACACATTAGTCTGTTACCTTGGAATGTAAGTTTAAGTACAAGTTACATGTTTGTACATCAAACAATCATCAGTACAAAACAATTCAACTTAATATTAACAATTGGTGAAACGCACCATTATAAAAAAAAATCAAAAAATAAATATCAATTAAGATTAAATTAAATAAAAAAATAAAAGGTTGATTTTTAACTTATGATACATAATAAATATTTAAAGCTAACAGGCAGTGGGTAGCGATTGTATAGTTGTATTCAATTGTAATAAGTAACTATATTTACATGTCACTGACTGACAATCACATTTATTGTCTAAGGATTTATTTTTGATATTATGTTTAAATTGATGACACAAACATGTCTATCGTTACAGACATAAAAAGATAAAATGTGTTCAGCTATCTAATAATAACATCAGTATAGAGAGATCAAGTTAATTTGAACAACTACACATTTAGGGCACATGAGTACTACATATTTATGTACCTGTTCGTAATATAAAAACACACACATATATAGATATTTAAAAATGTATAGTACTATTTTAATTAATTCTTAATATTTTTGTATGAACTTTATTACAAGTGTAGATAAGAATCATTTTACTATGAACGTCTATACATGTAATACATATATTTAATCTTTAATATTAAATGATAAAAATTGAATTTAATATATTTCAAAAAACGATATTATCATATGATTATTATGATTTAATATAAGTACAACATCTGATGAGCATTTAAATCTATTAATAAGTTATTATAAAAGAAAACACGGACATAACACCGTAAATATAATACGTAAAGAGATATATCTCGATAAAGAATTACATAAAAATGCAACTCTTTTCGTATGGATACATTTCATTCCTAATCTAAAGTAAGGTATCTGAACTCTGAAGTTATGGCACCTCGCCACTTACACTTTCAACTTAGTTGTTGCTTAATCAAGCACACAACTTAACACAACACAAAACACATTTTTATAACACTATGTAAATCCATTTATTTACAATATTTATTTAAAATTGAGATTATCCTAGAGATTCATTATTTAAATGAGTTACATTAAAATCTAATTATATATACAATTATTAGGGAATTTATGTATGGAGGTTTACAGTGGCTACACTTGATGCCAATGGGACTGGGGCAAGACTAGTTTTGAATTAAACATTACTTGTCATACAATTGTAAATACATTTGTGACAAGAATGCCATAGAAATGTAGTCATCGGCAAGAAAAATGTTGAATTCATGCAACTATTAGAAAAAGAATTGAGCAAAAATGAGAATTACAACATCAATATACTAATCACACACAATAACATAAGATCTGATATCTATGACGTAATACCATCTTTGTATGATGTACGTAGACTAATTTCTAATAAAACGAGAGCACAATTTTATTTCAATGGCACAAGGTATTAAGTTATTGTGTATGCATAGTAGCTAATATGTACAAATTCGACTCATTACAATTAAAACACTGATTTTATTAATACTATGACATTCGCTTTGAGATCTAAATATTTATGGCAAAATTCACGAGAACACATACTATTTTATAACATCGTAAGTATTTATTTCTTGTTAAGAAATTGTACTAAATCACTTCATGTTATCAAAGTGCTAGAATAGCAAGATATATCTTTGCACAATGTAGCTGACATGCCGTGCTCTCGTAAATATATTTTTAAACCAACAGACTAGACATTTATAATTAGTTGAATATTTCCAAAATAAAATAAGTCAAAGCGAATACGCGCTATGACTCCACAACTATAGCACACTTACATGGCTCGATATTCACAAACAGATCGTATTATAATCACATTTATTTATTAGTCTTTGATGCAGTTCAAACATTTCACTGGATTGAATAGTCTATTTGTTGGTCGGTGGGTCGCGCGCCGCTTTCGCTCGCCTCTCATATATACAATTCAAACCGCCTCCGCTTCCATTTGTTTCTAAATATTATACAAAATCAAAGCACAGCCATAATACTTCATCAGAGAGCGCACTGTGGCATTTCTTTCTGCTGGGGGCGGGGCGGACGTGGGCGGGCGTAGCGGGGGCGACGCCTTCTTCTTTTACCAGAGAGCTGCTGCAGACAGGGGCGCAGGAAACTTCACTCGCAGGCCAGCCGCACACACTCAAACACATAATACTGATAAAGGAAAGTGTGTGAAGCATGGTCCAATAACGTTTTATTGCAAGTGAGGTTTACTCCGTGTGAACACGAGCATTTACTCGTGCACGGTCCAGGGCACGTCGTTGTGCGCCAGGCGCGCCGTGTCTCGCCACAGCTCTCCGGGGTAGAGCTAGATGTTGCGGAACATACGTATGACGTGTCGCACAAGGGGGGGCGAGAGTTAGGGGGCTGCCCCCTTGAGGCGCTTCAGTCGCTCCTTCTCCAGATGGTCGGCGGGGGGCTCGCGCTCGAATGACACCAGCTCCAGCGCTGTAACACAACAAACATTAATTCGCATTAACATCTTCACATCATTTTAGTTTTTCGACTAAGTACTTGTAAATATAAGTAACAGACCTGTTTCGGAGAGCGCGGGTCTGTCGACGAAGAAGCGCCAGGTGGGAGTGTGCGTGACGTGGGCGTTAACAGCGTGTGCAGGGCGGTGCGGCGTGCCGTGAGCCTCGCCCAGCCGGCGCGCCGCCAGCTGTGCGCGCACGGGACGCGCCAGCGCGCAGCACTTCTCAAAGTTGACGCGCCCGCCTGCCACTCTGCACATGACACAAACATTTTACTATGGCACCCTACTTCAATATATCACGTATCAATATTTCACAACATAATAGCCGTAACATAAGTGAAGAGTAAGTTTTTGATGGATTGGATTTTAGTGCTATGGTAAAATATTTATAATGTATTTTATAAAAGCTTTGTTACGTATGATTCACAGTGATGTGTTAAAAGTAAGTCAGCGATTGGCAGACGATGGTGGCTTAGTTTTGTCAGCGAGTACATAATGAGATGAGGATAGTAAAATAAAGCTTCGAAGGTTTTAAGTACATAATATAAAATGTTGGTAAAAATAATCACAATTGGACGAGGTTTGCGACGATCTAAGCATTATATGTATAGTATGACTTTAGTTACGATCTCTTGAGACGAATGATTGGGTTTACAGTATCTGTGTGTATGTGACCTTGTGGGCGCGGACTGGTGCGCGAAGTGCAGGTCACGACAGGTGACTGAGAGGAGAGGCACCGCCGTCTCGCCCGGCGCCGCCGCCAGCGCCGCGCGGTACCTGCGCAAGCCACGCCCCACACGTCAGTGCCCGACTCAAGCCACGCCTAAAGACTTTAGACCCCCAGATAGACTGATCCCGCAATACTAAAGAGTACACAAAGTCCTCCATTCTTTATTTTACTGCTATAAAATTAATCTCCAAAAGCCAAAACAGATATACCGGGCACCTTTTTGCATTATCTAAAGAGTGTACGGTAAAAAAGGAGGATTCACCTATAAAAATCAATGACAAAAATTTGCTGTATATAGTGGAATAGATATGACAATATATTTAAGCATGGAAGCGACGATAAATGTTAACAATGAATAAAAGCTTTTGTTGAAGTTTGTTAAATACAGTTAGTGAAAAACAATATCAGTTTTCGTTTTTAGCGTAATTTATTCAGATCTAATATTCTATATATTTATTCGCAAGCTTTGTTTAATATTTAGAAGAATATATAGAAAACAGTAAAGAGAGTTATAAAGTAACAAAAGCGGTGCGAGCAAGGTGGGCGTGGTGAATGGATGTGTGGGTGAAGGAGGTGGGCGTGGTCACCTGGCGTGGTTGCCGCCGGGCTCGACGCACAGCTCCAGCTGGCGCAGCTGCTGGCCGCACACTGCGGACGCGCGACTCCACTGTCAATAAACATACAATTATACATTTATAGTTTGCAGCATCGCTGACGGCTGAACACTATTATGTAATTTTAAGATGGTGCCGTAGAATCAAAACTCAACATACAGGAGAATTCAATCTTACGTCTTACTAATATTGTACAAGCGAATGTTTAGATGGATGGATGGAGGTTTGTTTGAAGTTATATCTAGAAAGGCTGCACGGATCTTGCTGAAATTTGGCATTGGTGCAGAACATAATCTGGAAGAACACATAGGCTACATATTCTGTATTTTTTTTTAATCGTGCGCAGACTTAGTCGCGAGCGACAGTTAGTGTGTTTATATTTATGTGTACCGTCTTCTTGAGCCTGGCGATGGGTGCCATGTTGAGGGCGCTGATGATGGCCATGAGGGAGTTGAAGTTGCCGAGGTTGAAGCACTCGCGGGCCGTCGTCACCCACTGCTCCAGCAGACGCGCTCGCTGCTTGCTCTTCACTGGCTGCAATGATCACACAAACAAATAAAGCTCTCCATTTAAGATTAAATAAAGGATACCTGTGAAATTTGGCATAGATGTAAAACACCGTGTAAAGAAACGCAGTGGCTAGTAATTTTTTTTGTTTTTAATTTCTATCTAGTATAATCATAATTAATTTCTAAATTTTAATGACGTTTGCGTTACGTTTATGCATTGTTTGGTTATATACATACCTTAACAATATCAGTAGCGACGAGATAGCTGAGTCGGTTGAACCAGTCTGCGTACGCCTCCAGGTTGCGTGTGGTCTTTGGCGCGGCGGGTGTTTTGGTGGCTGGTGGGGCGAAGGCCTGCAGGAACTCTTCGGGGCCCACAAACGACAGCCGGTACAATTCCACTGCGGTCAGCTGACGTGCCAGTTCCACAGGTGACAGGCCTAGTGTGAGGATGTCGCCCTGGGATTTTATAAAAAAATTACATAAATATTTAAAAAAAATTATCGTTACAGTTAACCGATGTAGGTACGCTAAAAGTTAAGCCGTTGCTATTTATAAAACGGTAGGCGCTTGGCTCAACGTCGAATTGGCGCAAACAATAAGCTTTCAAGTTTAACGTATATAAAGATGGCAATAGCCATCTAAAAACATCATCTATTGTTTCGAGAGAAATAGAATAATATTTTTGGTATGTTTAATAAAGTGTTTAAAGTAATTTTTGTATCAAATTAACGATTGAAATGTTATTTTGGTAATAAAATGTCATAATCAATTTATCACCTGTGGCAGTTGTTCAACTGTGCATAGTGGCGCGGGCTCCGGCAGCGACTGCTCGTACTGCTCCAGCGCGGTGAGCCGGTCCAGCAGGCGCTCCAGGGTGCGAGACACCTCCGCCCTCACGCCCGCCATCTGCTCCGTCGCGCATCTACATACACACCAAGCCAATAAATTCACTTCCCTTCTTATTTATTACCAGCGGTAGCCTATAACGTGACCGCGTGCATCAGCTACCTTCCTGTTAAATCCCGTCAAAATCGGTCCAAACGTTCCGAAGTTTCGCCAAAACATACGCGGTCTCGCTAACACATATATAGACAGTCAGACAAAAATTTTAGTTTCTTTGTTATGACCAGGTATAAAAACTCACAATTTTATTAATATCATATAGATAGCATTAGCCGTTTCTAAATTAGGATTTTGTTATGGTCACCTCTGTGTGATAGTCCTGACGAGCGCCATGACGCGGTCGTCGCGGAAGTCATAGGGGAACATGCCGGTCCACTGGGTGAGCACACGTACTAGCGCGCCCATGTCCGCCAGCTCCTTCTCCGGGCACTCCTTGCTCTCCTCCACTTTGCCCTGACACACACACACACACACATACACAATACAGGAATACATTCGGCCTACATTATACAAAAATACTTAAAAAAATTAGACAATAAACTAAATGATGCAAGTAAAACCCTTGTAATTTAACTGATGCTAGATTCACACGAGGGTACAGAGCATTAGAGCAGTAAAAACTACAATACTGTTATTATTTGATGCACATCTACTGTCAACACACTACTATTCTGCCTCTGTGTTGTATTTTCAAATATTATTTTTCATCTTCCGTTCTACTTCACTTAGTTGCCTTCCTTGAAAAATTAAAAAAACGTAAAAATTATTAATTTATTTACAGCAATAACTTAAACATCATCAGCTCACTGTATGGCCCCACTGAGGTTCTCGCAGCCTAATCTAAGTTGAGGGTGACCAGGCCATAGTCAACTATGTTGGCCCAGTGCGGGTTGGTTGAAGTAAAAGATATTTAAAAAGCTTGACTAACAAAAGCTTGAGTAAAATGTATATTAAACATATAATGAATTACACTTACAGGTTTGTCGTAATTCTTGAAATATCTCTTGCAAAGTTTGGCTAGCAGCTCATGTGGCTTGAGGAAGAGGCGTGAGCACAGCAGGAATGTAAATGTGTAGGAGGGCGGCGCACCCGGCCGCAGCATGTCCACCAGCGCCTCCAGACTGGCGCTCATCAGCTGCCCGTCGCGGTACTCCACCTCCTCGCCCACGCCCACGCTCACACCAACGCCCACACCCACACCCATGCTCACACTAACGCCACCGTTACCCTGGTTCTAAACATATGCAACTATTACTCTGTGGGTATATCAATTCTAATTAGAAAATGTTATAGAAAATAATAAAATATTAAAAATTATCATGTTTAATTATCTGAAAAAAAAATACTGTATTAACATATTTGTAAAACAGACCTGTCCAGGCTCCACTTTCTGTGCAGAAATAAATCCGAGTCCTCCATTCATGACCATGTGCTTGCAGGTTGACTCTGACATCAGTTTGTTGCCTCTCACCATTGAGTAGTAATCATCATTCTAATAATTATAACATTTCAATATATTAATAACAATAACAACATTTCTAGCAATACATTTACTAAACAACTATAAAGAGACAATGTTTGATTGCATATTTAACCTTTATTGTGGCAAGACTTCTTTTTTGAAGAAAAGCAAAAAACTAAGTTAAAAATTTTATAGTGATTTATATAAAATTATATGTATGGTATACTTTACAAAATGGACATAAGGGTTAATCAATAACCCACAGTTAAACTGAACATTAATATAACTAAATAACTTATAAGTGTTATGACTGCATTATAAAATAAATCTGTAAAATATATTCCATATACATTTTGCATTCATAGTAAGTGGTAACTTCCGCCAATATGACTGAACTTTAAAAACTTCTTGGCATTGCCGGCATTTTTGATTGGAACTTACATCATAGTATGACAACCCAGAGCCGTGTAATAACGTGGGGTTAGCAGTGAGGGGTACAAGGTCTGTTGAGGAGGTTGCGGGCTCGCTGACAGGAGGCACCTTCACCGAGCACCCGCTACATGACGCCTCATTCAGTTTGCTTGCGTAGTAGTACATAGCCATTCAATTCTACAATGTCTTCTAACACTAGGCGCCTCTTCTGAAGCTATCTTAGAGAAGCCCACTTTATCTTAGAGAATCCATTTGTTTCTGTCAAATAAATTAGCATTTAAGACGCAATGCAAAAGTGTATGGAGAACAGTTCTTAGACATGGCAGTTGCACCAAAATTGTTATCAATAAGATTCATACATAAATTATTTGTAAAGCAAAACCCAGCTCTGACATTCATACAAAGTTTTAAATGAGTAGCAAACAATAAGCTGAACAATTGAATCTCGCATTGCTTAATATAATTGGTAGAGATTCGCAATGCAAATGCATTAACAAACAAGTGGCTAATAAACATAATTTAAAACTAATTACTGGAGTAAACCGGGAACATTGGGATGAAAAAACCTAGAATCAACAATTAAATTAAAATGCTGTTCAAATGAACTGACACTTAATTGCACAAATACCAAAACATTTCCAGTAAAACACTTCGCTCACAGAAATTATAATATAAGTTAAACATATTTTACATAACTTTATTATTCAATTTTTGGAAAATAACTGAAAAAACGATCACAGCAAAAAAAATTATATTCCGCCTTTTCCTTAATTCCAGCATTAACTTAGTAACTAGCTGTTGCATTTATAGTATTAATATGACAAAAAATTTACAGTAAAAATGTAGATTTCCGAGGATTCACTTGGAGATTCATAATAACCAAGAGCCCATCCTCATCCTCTATCCATAATAAAGTGGTAATAACCCATATTATGATCACAATTTAAGGAAGAGACGGGTGTTACTAGTAGCATTGCTAAATGCAACAAGACTTTACTTCATTATTAAAACATCATACAAGATTTAAACACCTGCACTATGACTTTAATCTGTCTTTAATCATATGAAAACAAGCTGGGTTTTGCTTTAAAATCCTAGCCTAAACTGTAATATTAAAATGTAATTTACTTATCATATTAAACCTTTCTCATATTTTTAAGAATAGTTTCACTATATTATAACAGCATAGAAAAAAATCACTGTATTCTGCATGCAAAGCTGTCTAATTATTTAACTAAAATTTATTTTTCTACAATTTTTATCAAAAATCTGCACATATCAATAAGATGAAATGTAACAACCCTACATAATTTCCAACAAACTATTTAATAAGCAATGATTCCATATGTTTAGATGGTAGCAACAGCAATAATAAAATCCTACCATATTACCGTTAAATTTATTTAGGTAGAATTTCTTTTGTTCACTTTTGCTGTATTGATTTAAAAAAAAATGGAATCAAGTAAAAAAATAAGTCAATGTTTTATCATGACAGAGTGCTATCGTATCGAATACTATGTAAGTATTTTTAATATAAATTTTAACCGAACATAGTATTTTAAATATTCAACCCTGAATAAGTAATAAGTTTTTTCTATAAAATATTATCTCACGGGGCCCGGTTATTGACAGATCATTTCACGCTCAATTAAAACAGATGCAGTGAAAGTTGGTTCCGATATTTAAAGTTCATTTTTATACACATCACTGCACTACTATAATATTGTAAATATACCGTTATATAAAACGTAATTTACTGGATCACAATAAATATATATTTTATAAAGTAATTACACCATTTACCTAATTTATTTATTAAGAAATAGCGCCAATGTACTAAACAAGGCTCGACCAAAGACTAAACAATGTAAACGATTGCCGATACGATACGGTCAGAACTGAGTGCGATAACAGCGCCACTCTCACCATAACTGTTCCCTATAAATGGATAGATCATCACCTGGAAATTACAGCCTTTGAATCGTTCCGACTTAAACCCGTCGGTTGAAGTTCTTGACAGTTTAATTCTATGTCTATTATTAGTTCGATTCCTCACCACCGCCACCAACCTCAACTGTCAGCGCCAAAATGGCGGAAATCAAATGCACAAAATGCCACAGCTTATAGCCTGTCCATATACAGAGGATAGTTTGAAAAAGTTCAAAGTCTATGCTAAGCAAACAACAAAACGACAAGGAGAAAAAAAAACACAATAAAAGTGGAAAAAGAGAAGAATATGCTATTTCCCACTTTTCTTCAGTTACTTGCATAACAATAGTAGTACCAAATAAGCAGCACTAAGGCTCTGGGTCTTTTAATTTCAGTTTTTTTTTATATAATAATTTGCATAGACAGCATCCAGCTACTCTGCATCAAATTAACTTATTAGGAAGTTCCTAAAATTGCTAAGTTATTTAGTAACTGTGATAAAAATTATGTCACTTCCGATCTTCTCACCGATTTTTATTATTACAGAGCTCAGTCGTTCTTCCTATCTCAAATTTAAAAAAGTTCTTTTTGATTGAAAACGTTGGTTGCCTAGGATAATTTCTTGATATTTCCTTGAATTTTTAAACTGTCACAATGGATATTTATTTACTTAATATTATGGTATATTTGTTATATATTATTTACCAAAAGCAGAGTCAATAATTTAAGTATATTATATAAGATATTCTAGTAATTTCAAGAATATTGTGAAAACCGGTCAAAGATGAACGATACCAGACGCCGCTCTACCATGACATTACCAGCGATAGAAACGATTCAGAGAAATGTTCGCCAAGTGCCTACGACTTATTCTAGGTATTATTTCTACAATTATTTTATTTTTGCCAAACAAAAAAGCTTTGTTAATATATCAGCGTTTACGCTACGATAAATATTAGTTAAGCCCTTAAAATTGGCGCGAAAATATTACGGCACAGGTTTCCAGGTACAGATTTTTCCTACGGATAAAAGGGGGATAGATATAATAGTATCCCTTTCCGACCTTTCACCCCCTCTGCCTCAACGCCTATTAACGCCCCTCTTTAATTAACGATCTAACGAGCTTTGTTGCCAACCATCCCAAAAAGAAGAATTGGTATTAGTCAACAAATTTTCCTTCGATATAAGACTAGACTAGACTAGACTTAGACTAAATATTTAGACGCAGGGCGATTATTGCATTTTTCGTAAGTATCTTTAACATAGCTCAAATTAAGATACGTTGAATTTTGTTAAATTATTTTTATAGGAAACCGCGGGATATACCGTTCCATTTGCCGCACAGAAAATTATTGGAAAAGATTGAGTTTGTCGAAAAGGAACCTGAACCATTGGTAAACAGGGACAGATATATTACTATATATTTATACCTAAACATACATATATCTGAACATCTCACAGATACACAAAATTGTAGTTTTATAGTTTAATCCGCCAAAGTACACAAATATACTAACTGTTGTTGTGCAATCTATCACTTCAAATTTCATCCAGACCCATTCCGATGCTCTAAAGTGACATTGTTTCAAACATCCATACGTCCATCCAAACGTAAGAAATAAAATTTCCAATTACAATTTCCGTAGACTGGCTTCGCCGCAGCGCAAGAAGATAGATATATGAGGGAGAGAAGAAGCACTAAAATACAATTAGAACCAATAAAGCATGAGGAAGGTGCGTTGCAAATTATGCCATTACCTCTCCAGCCTGAAATCATTATTCGAAGATTAAGATCAAGTCTAAAATTATTTTAATTATTTTGGGGCTGCACAAAAAAATACACAAAACGCCTTCTAAATATCGTTTATATATCGTAATATTGTTTACAGAAACTATATTCAATCTGTAAAATTTGTACCAAATGAATGAAAATCGCGGATAATCAATAATATTTCGAGATCGAATAATGATTTCAGGAGTTAGTCTATTTATTCAAAACAAATAAGTCTGCTTACCTTGACATGAGTAGAAAAATATAACTTATCTATATTAAACGCTAATAAATGCTTTCTATTGGTAAATAATATAATACTATTATTTTTAAAATACTTTTCTAACTGAATCAATACCAATGTTGTTCAGTCAAGAAAAAGAAAGCAATAAAGATACGAGAGTCGAGAAGCAGTATGGACGATGAAAGAAAAGAGGAACCAACCGCAGACCCTCTCAAGCTGAAGCCCCAGGTGGCCTCGCAGAAGGAGGTGATAGATCACGTGCGCTCAAACCCCCAGTGCGGCTTCCTGTACATGATATATGCTGTGCATCCACAGAATGTATACTTTACGCCATATTATCTAAAGTAAGTTTATAAAGACAATTGACGCTAGAAGACTAGATTCTTTATTGTTTCTGGTATACCTCTCGCCTCTCACATATTCATATACATCAACCCATTCATGCACTTTGATTTCGGGTGTAAATAAAAGTGTATAATTTACTTTTAGAATGTACCGTAAAGTCGAGAAAATATTACTTTGATTAGGTAGCACGCGTGTATTTTTTTATTATTAATTTATTTATATATTATGTGACAGTATTTTAACCGACTTTTGTTACATTGTAAGTTAGCAAATTGGTTTTTAGGCAACTAACATAATGTTCTTGTAACAGAGTTGTTAAGTATGAAGAGCTGGATAGGAAGAATTACTTCACAATAAGTCCGTGCGGTGTGACGCACTACACCAGCGAGATGGTGTTCACAAAGCTCAATGACTGGGAACAAGAGTACACCGTCTTCGTGCAGCTACATGAAGTGAGCGAACGATATATGTAAAGATTCTGCTACAATCTTGTCAGATTCCATTGACGAAACGATAGCACGTAGCATAATATGAACCATTTCCTCATCTTCTTCCTTTACTTCTTGAATATTTGAAAATAGTAATATATTTCTATTCAGGTGGGCAGGTACATCAAAATCCATCTCTCTGTTTTTATATTTGGAAATAAAGTTCTGTCTGATATTGCAAAAATCGTTGGTTTCGACACTAAAATCTCTGTTTAAAATATATCGTCATCCCAGTCATTATCTGCGAAATATCAGAGATAAATATTTTAAACGGAGATTTTAGTCTCAGAAACTCATGGTAAATAAGGTTTGAATTTATTACTGAAATGAATGTTAGTTCGACTTAGAAAACGAAGACTGGTGCGTCCACTCCTCATAGAGTGGGATACGAGCAGACAGGTTAATAATATTCGTTTCGATGCAGATAACATTCTTCAAAGTGTACCGATATTGGAAAGCATTGTACGTATGGCACAAATCGGTTCGGTTCCGCAAGTACAGTCGGCTGAGGAACATGCTCTCCCGCCAGCTGTTCATCCTTACACCGCCGCTGGCGCGTGCGTTACTGACGGTGCAGGCTCTGTGCTGTCGGATGCTGGAGGTATCGCTCGCTGACACAACACGACACATGGATACGCCTTTCTTCTACTTCAATGAGGCACAGGTAAACCGCACTCAGAATTAGATACAAATTACCAACTTTGAAGACTCGACAGTAAAGTCTGTAAATTACCCACAAAAATTAAAATAAAAGTAGTGAATATCTGGTAGTCAATGAAATCTTTGTTGTCAGATGATGCGTTTGGAGATGGTGCGCCGGCGCATAACGGAGTTTAGATCGGTGGCGCACGAGGCGGTGACGGTGGCGGGACACGAAGCACTGCGCCTGCGCGGCTTCACCGTCGACGATCACGAGGTGCCACCGCCCGCCATAGTGCGCGGCCGGCCCGTCGGCGGCATGTCCTACACACAGAAGGCCAACAAGAGGAAGTACTGCGAACGACTCGCTTGGTAATTTATCTACCACTCAACTCTGTCATAAACTATAAGTAGTTAGTTCTTCTTATTGGCTGAATTTAAAATCACTTGATAACATGAAAGTTGTTCTATAGCTTCATCAAGCTGATCGACTACATGACGAACTATATGCTCCACGGGCTGACGAATCGCTCCAACGCGCACATGGCAAATTTGCTGCGTACACACGCCTCGTTCACGCCCTCACATGACCTGCTCACCTCACTTGATGTCGATACCGTGCTGGAGGTAGTGCCTAGGCCAGTTGAAATATGCAAGGTACGTGGTATTCTAATTCTAAAACATGATATTTCCTTCTTAGACCGTTCTATTTACAAGCTTAATTTTATCTTAGCGCTCTCTATATAGTATCTAAAATAATTTGAAAATTCATGGCACAGTGGGCTCTATTTCAAGTGGACGCATACGTGCTGCCCAGCGGCGAGGTAGAGTTGAATCCCAGCGAGAAGATAATTTCCGAATATATCAGCAAGGTAACAGAGTACTGGGATGAGGTCGTACGGACGTTCCACAACTTTCTCAACGACGACGACCTGCAGATGTTCGTGCAGCCCACCATCATGGGCAAACAAGTCGAATGGTCGGCAGGAGTGTCACCTAATCTTTACTTCCTTATGAATCAAGATAAGAAAATGCTAGAAGATATTTTATATATTCCTAACGCTATCAAAGAAGCTTACGAGGTGGTAGATGTATTTTTAAACAGAATGAAAACGTTTATGGTGGAATTTAAAGCCGCGCATGAAATGGACTTGAACGTAATCAGGGACGAAAGAGACGTCAATGTATTCAAATTGCTCTGCGACAAACTGGTGAAGCAAATGGAGACGATCGAGGACGTGGTCAGCTACCAGCCACTCGGCATCATCTTCCTGAACCTCAGCCCGTTCCAGGAGCTCTTCAGGCCGCAGCCCAGGCGACTGTTCGATGTCGTTTTGAACACCACTCCTGAGTGAGCTCGCCTTCAGACTATTTATTGAAATAGTGCTAACTTAGCTTTGTATTACACATTGTGATCTTTTGTTCAGCGTGGGTCGTGCTTGTATTGACGAGATCTTGGAGGGCATCGAATCCATCGGCGAGGACATCAGTCGGGAACCGGAGACGGCGGCCGAGCTTGTGGAATTCAACAGCCTGCTGGATGGCCTGGAGAGCCGCGTCGCGTACCTAGAGGAGCGGTTGGAGTACCTGCGCGAGTTGTACGACTTTATGGGAGAATTCAATATTCCAGTTTCGCCTGAAGATATGACCGACTACTTGGGTAACATAATTTTTTGGTGAACTTCTAAGAATCTTTAATGAATTTGAAGCTCCAAGAATGTTGCAATATTAAACTGTAAAAATACAAGCGAAAAGAAAAACTACTTGTGATAAAATAAAAGATAATTGCTCATTTGTATAGGTCTGAGCGTGGCGTTGGGCACGCTGCGGACCAGCGTGGACGCGCGGCTGGAGACCCGTGGCAAGCTGGCAGGACAGTTCGCTTCACAGGTGGGCCGCGACCTGATGCAACTTATGGAAGAGGTCAACACGTTGCACGCACAGGTCGCGGTAAGTATATCAACTTTATAATAAATAAATAAATAAATAAATCATTACATCACTTTATCGATCAATTAACTAATTTTAGTGAAACGGTTAATTATTCTTTAAATTTTATATAGTTCCGTTTTTTATATTTTCTACAGTTATATTGTACTTTGACTACATCTGATAGTATTCCACAACTACCTTCGGTAAAGTTATATGTTAATTTATCACTGTTTGTAGCAACCTTGGCTCTACGACGACAGTTCTGACATGGCCAAGGTTTTGGAGGTATTGGACGACCTCATGGCTAAGCTTATGGCATGCTTCGCCAGAGACAAGCAGATTCATGACTGGCAGAAAATATTTAAAGTGAGTGACATGCTTGATGTTAAAATTATGAAATAATCATTTTGCTGTATTTAAGACCGGCGTGTAAAAATTATAATAATAATGTCGTGTTCAGATTCCGCCATCACGACTCGACCAGTTGGATGAGGCGATCAATGATGTGAAATTAAGACAAATGTTGTGGAAATCTTCCAAGGAGTGGGATGAACATTATCACAGTTGGTTAGTGTTTCAAAATAATATCCCGCCCTGGACTTATTTGAGACAAAAAAATTCTAATATACTATCTTTTAGTTACATAAATCGGACAAACTATACATCATACAAAGTTTGCAAAAGTTGCTATATTAGCTACTAGCTGTGCCCGCGACTTCGTCCGCGTGCAATTTTGTCTTTAGGTAGCATTTTCATTACAGACAGACAGACAGAGTTACTTTCGCATTTATAATATTGATATATTAATATATTAGCTATTTATAAAACAAATTTTCAGCAAAAACTCTTTTTGATTTCATTTTTTATAAAAGATAAAATAAAACATAAAATCTTTTACTTAATAATGATACCTTTAAAATATATAAACTTTTTCTAGTGGTAACTTGTCTCACTGCTGCGCGACTTGATACACAGGTACGAAGCGCCCTTCCACACCCTGGATGTAGACGATATACAGAATGCCGCCGTCAATTATGGCAAGCAGTTTAACCAGATGGACAAAGCATTGCCACCAAACAAGATTGTGCCAAGATGCAAACATTCTATTGACGTTATGAAGGATAAGGTAGAACTTTATCTGGATACTATACCATCTTAATAGAAAAAAATTATTTCCGCTTATATTTAAAACAAAATACAAAATTTCCTATTTATGTTTTTTCCCTGTTCCCCCGTCAAAGTGGATTGAAACTATATACATTTCTCCATGCTTTCCCGTCAAACACAAAACCAGGAGTCACTTTTGCATGTGCAACGTCTGACTGTATGTTTCGTGTGCAGCTGCCGGTGATCTCGTACCTGCGTAGTCCAGCACTGAAGGCCCGGCACTGGGTGCGCGTGGAGGAGGTGTTGCACACTCGCTTCGTGCCCGGTGCGCCGATCACGCTCGCCGACCTCGAGCAGCTCGGCGCCTTCCAGCACGCCGAGGAGCTCATGGAGATCGCAGCTCAGGCTAACTCAGAGGCCGGCCTTGAGGCTCTGCTCAAGAAGGTACGTTAGATAAGATTTCAATGAATACTAGGCCGAGGTCTTTCCTTTTGTGATGTACGTGTGCTGCTGTGTGCAGGTGGAAGAGACATGGGCGGCATTGGAATTCCCGGTGTTGCCACACAAGGACTCGCGAGACGTGTTCATGCTGGGCGGACTGGAGGAGATTCAGGCGGCGCTGGACGAGAGCTGTGTCAACGTTAACACCATTCTCAGCTCGCGCAGCTGCGGCCCACTTAAGAGCCGAGTCGAAGAGTGGCAGCGAAACCTCGAGCTTTTCGGCAAAACACTTGTTAGTACACTATTAACAGAGTTTAATTTATCGATACTACTTTTGTCTTGACACGAATTTCGTTTGGGTGTTAGGTGTCTCAGACATCTCTATAATAATAATAATAATAATAAGCCTTTATTCAGATATTTTTCATTACATTACATTACATTATATTATTTAAAGTTTATGTTAAGTTAGTATTTAGGTTTATATCCGTTTGTCCCATGTGGACAAAGGCCTCTTCCAAATCCTTCCATTCTTCTCTTACTTTTGCCTTCCTAGACCAGGTCTCTATATCGTGACTTAACTAAAAGTATGTATGTAATGAGCGTTCTGTACGAGCAGGAGGAGTGGCAGCAATGCCAGCAGACGTGGATGTATTTGGAGGCGATCTTCAGCGCACCCGACATCCAACGACAGCTGCCAAATGAAACTCGGCTCTTTACCATCGTCGACAAGTCTTGGAAGGATAATATGCGTAAAGTCGCTAAGGTAGATAATCTATAATGATTTTTTTTAATATCATCCAAGTATATTGAGATTTTTACATGCCTTAAGTCTAATGTAACAATAAGTTAGATGTTGCATGACGCACTTGTTCACATAAACTTCGTTCATGTATAATTTGTGGGTTCTGCTTGAAAATGTGTAAGTGAATATGTTGTGTTGCTGCAGGTACCGCTGGCGTTGCCGGCGGCGACTCAACCAAAATTGTACGAGGAGCTGGTTCGTAACAACGAGATGCTGGACCAGATCATGAAGTGCCTGGAGGCGTACCTCGAGACCAAGCGTGTTGCCTTCCCACGCTTCTTTTTCCTTTCTAACGACGAACTGCTTGAGATCTTGGCGCAGGTAAGCTCACCGTCTTTCTTACATTGGCCTCTTGACACAACTTTACAATTATTTTATAAATTAAATATTTGCAAGTATTTTTGAGCAAACGTGTTTGTTGCAGACTCGCAACCCGCATGCGGTACAGCCGCACTTGCGCAAGTGCTTTGACGCGATCGCCAAACTGGAGTTCGGCGTGAAGCTGCCGGAGAGCGAGATGGAGGTGGCAGAGGATGGCACACTGGTGGAGCGCGAGATGTCACCGCGCTCGCGCGACCGCCTGCAGGCCGCCCTGGCTCTCACTGCTCGCCCCGAGGACCTCACCACTGATATCATTGCCATGCTCTCGCCCGAGAGCGAGCGCGTCAACCTGGGCAAGGTCATATCAAATCCTATTCTTATCAACTAACTTAAAAATAGTCCCAATTACCTGTAAACTATTTATTTTACACATCCTACTAATTGCTCTGTTTGGCTTCGAAAATCCTCAAGGCACTGTGTGTACAGGGTTTGAAGGCGCGCGGCAATGTGGAGGAGTGGCTGGGCAAAGTCGAGGCGGCCATGTTCGCCTCCGTGAAGCGCTGCATGAAATATGCTCTGCGCGACTACGAGACGCGCCCCCGACCTCAATGGTCCGCCCTGCATCCAAACCAGGTCAAATTACATTTTAGTATTTTTTTTTTAATTTTAGTATTTTATTTTAGTTTTTTCCTGTTTTTTACGAAACAAGCGGGGGGGGGGTGTACCCTTTCGCCCTGGGTTTACCTGTAATGTATATTCTGTTGCAGGTGGTGCTGACCGTGTCGCAGATCATGTGGGCGCGAGGCATCCACGAGGTGCTGAGCAGCGCCGAGGGCGAGGACGTGACGACAGGACTTGCTGAGTTCGAAAGGCGCAGCGTGGGTGACTTGAACGCGCTCGCCGCCCTCACGCGCCAGCCACTCGGCGCGCTCTTCCGTCGCGTGCTCTGCGCACTCATCACCGTCGACGTGCACGCTCGTGACTCCGTCTCCAATATGGTCGAGAAGCGTGTGCAGAAGGAGTCAGTAACAAATAGCATTTATTTTGTTATCTCTCTTAAGTCTCACTTTTTTGGCTCAACAACTTTTGTGCAAACAGTAATTTTTGAAAAAATACTTACATCAGACGTAAAGTTTCCATGGTTCTTTACTTAAACGTCTTAATACGTATAGTAATATAATGCATCTCCGTTTCTATTTGCAGCACGGACTTCGAGTGGCTGAAGATGATCCGCTACTATTGGGAAGAGGATCTGGATAACTGCGTGGCGCGCATGTCTAGTGCTATGTACATCTACGGCCACGAGTACTTGGGCGCTGGAGGTGATATCGCAACTCATTTTTACTACGAAACTTTCCCAACTAAGCAGAAATAGTTAATATTTTCATTTTTTTATAATGTTTTTATTTAATTTTTCCTTTGAAATGTCTTGAACACGAAATGACTATTAGCTTTTGTACAATTATGGTTTTCTAGAAATAGAAAAGGAAAATGTGCTTTAAAATAATGTGAATAATAAGAGAAACGTATAATCAGGTGTGTTGGTGATAACTCCATTAACGGACCGCTGCTACCTGTGTCTTATGGGAGCGCTTCAACTGGACCTGGGTGGAGCGCCCGCCGGACCAGCGGGGACCGGCAAGACAGAGACCACTAAGGATCTGGCCAAAGCCGTCGCTGTGCAATGCGTCGTATTTAATTGCTCTGAAGGTACAAATTATTTGTGAACAAGACTTTTAATCATCTACTTAGGTTCAATACATTTCTTGAAGGTTGTAGTATAACTACGTATCGTATTCAGGTCTCGATTACAAAATGATGGGCCGGTTCTTCTCTGGACTGGCGACGTCCGGCGCATGGTGTTGTTTTGACGAGTTCAATCGTATTGACATCGAGGTGTTGTCCGTTATCGCCCAACAGCTCATCACCATCCGCAACGCGAAGATTGCAAGACTCTCCAGGTCCAAAACATTGTCTTTTATCCAGCAACACACTTATCGATACTTCTCAGCTAAGATCAGATGTTTTGTTGATGTGATTACAATGGTTTTAATTTAATAGATTCATGTTCGAGGGTCGAGAGATAAAGTTGGTGCGCACGTGTGCTGCCTTCATCACCATGAACCCGGGCTACGCGGGCCGCACTGAGCTGCCAGACAACTTGAAGGCGCTCTTCCGACCAATCTCAATGATGGTCCCCGACTATGGTACGCTCACTACCTACTGTTATTGCTATGCTCTATTTGGTATAGTATGATGGATTGATACAAAAAAAATATTTGGTAGTTAAATCTAATTGTTGTATGTAACAGCACTGATCGCGGAAGTGATCTTGTATTCCGAGGGCTTTGAGTCCTCCAAAGTTCTGGCGCGCAAGATGGTGCAGATGTACAAGTTGTCCAGCGAGCAGCTCTCCAAGCAGGACCACTACGATTTCGGCATGAGGGCGGTCAAGAGTGTGCTGGTTAGAATGTCGTTATTTTCTTGAATTAATTTTTTTTTCTATTTTATTTTTTTATGTTATATGCATATTAATAAAAAACTTCTTACTGTCTTCCTATCGTAAAACAGTTTTTTTTCGTATCAGGTGATGGCAGGCGCTCTAAAGCGTGCAAACCCTGATCAAGTGGAGGACCTAACATTGCTGTGTGCGCTCAACGACAGCAACTTGCCCAAGTTCCTGGCGGCAGACGCGCTGCTGTTTGCGGGCATCCTCTCCGACCTGTTCCCGGGCCTCGAGCTGCCCGTGCGCGACTACGGTGTCATGGAGGAGGCAATCAGTAAGTTCCACTTGCTCGCCCGTTTTAAGTGATCGTCAAAACTTGCACTTTTAATTTTATTTTATACACTTCACGATACGTAACTTTATCGTATTTTTTTTCCATTTTTTTGATGCGAATACTTTAACAGTGCGGTGTAGTTTTTTCTAAATTCTAATGTATATGTGTTTGCGAAATCTTGATCTACATTTATTATAACAACTGGTGTTTAGAGTACTGCTTGCTGGAGCGCAACTTGCAAGTGGAAGCTTGCCAGATCCGTAAGGTCATCCAGTTGCACGAAACGATGATCGTGCGCTGGGGAGTGATGCTGGTTGGACCTACCGGCGGTGGCAAGACTGTCGTTCTACACGTGAGTATAATAAAGGGTCATCGTGTTATATTATAGTATGGCGTTTGTCGTAGGCAAGTAACTGTCCAATATTCGGTACGTAGATACTGGGAGCGACGTACGCTCGGCTGTACGAGGAGGAGGTGGAAGGCCCCCAGAACAAGCCGGTGCATATGTACACGATGAACCCCAAAAGCTTGAGCATCGGCGAGCTGTACGGCGAGGTGAACCTGCAGACGCTGGAGTGGCACGACGGCGTACTGCCGCTCAGTCTGCGCATTGCTGTACAGTGCACCGCCCCCGACCACCAGTGGATCATCTGCGACGGCCCCGTCGATGCCGTTTGGATCGAAAACATGAACACCGTGCTCGACGACAACAAAATGCTCTGCCTCGCCAATTCCGAGCGCATTAAGCTTACACCTCACGTGCACATGCTTTTTGAGGTTAGTGCGCGCATATCATGATTCTATTATTCATTTTTGCAAGAAATTAATGTGAAATGTGTAGGTGGGGGACCTGGCGCAGGCGTCTCCGGCGACGGTATCGCGCTGCGGCATGGTGTATGTGGACCCACGCGAGATGGGCGTGTTGCCGTACGCGCGCTCTTGGATCGCGGGCGCCGCAGCTCAAGGCCTGCTCACCGGCGATCACCCTGACTTCCTCTATCAAATGTTTCTGATGCTGCCCGATGGACTCGATTATGTCTCACATAAGTGCACAGTCGGGATAAAACAGGTACATACTCTACTTTGTTATAAATGTTGTTGACAGTGTACATAATCGTCATACAACGAGGCTTTCCTGAATAGAAAAAAGTTTAGAGTGCATATTTTGGTGTGTGTAGGTGGATGCTAGCAAGGTGGCGGCCCTGTGTAGTCTATTGGGCAGCCTGTTGGCCGAGCCAGGCGAGAGGTTCCCGGACAAATCAGCGGCGCGCAGCTACCTAGCTCTGTGCTACCAGTTCTGCTACGCCTGGGCCGCTGGCGGCAACCTGCTTGAGTCCTTCCGACGACCCTTCGATGAGTTCATCAAGAGACAGTTCGAAACCTTCGAGGAGGGAGAGTTGTGCGTATTCTATTTTATTATGTGCGTCACCTTACTTTGATGCAACAACATTACATTAAGTTAACATTTTCATTAAATGCAAATGGAGTAAAAAGGAAATGTTAGAACCACACTAAAAGGCACTCAAAAATCACCGGTGTTCGTTAAAAGACTTTTCATATTTAATACTATTATCCTTTGACATGACCAAAAGGCCTGTAACTAGTTTACGGTTACATTTTATTAACAAAGTTAGGGTCCGACCTTTACCGAGCTAATAGTATCGAGCTTCCAATATCGACGCTGAAGTAAAATTCAATTAATTTGGTCAAAGTGCTGCGAATTTTGCTTTTAGAGCGCTTAAAATAATTTAGACAGACCAAGCGTATGATCAACATCAACAAAGTTCAGAGGAATACGGAATAATTTGTTTAAAAAATGTAGTTTTTATTAAAAGCATTGTAGAAAGTACAAAAATAACACCAGTTAGTAGTTAAAGAAAATTGTTCGTAACATTTCCAATGACATTTGTCAGCCTGCCGTCTGGCATGAACCTGTTCGAGGTGTATGTGGATACGAAACTGCGGCGCGCTCGGCCCTGGTCCGAGTCTACGCCACCTTTCACCTATGATCCCGACCGGCCGTTCTTCGAGACCCTGGTGCCTACCACAGACACGGCGCGCTACGGCCACTTGCTACGTCGTTGGCTCGCCGCAAACAGGCCCACCATTTTCACTGGAGACACGGGTATAAACATACCGGGATCTCTATCTTTACAAGGCCTTCCTTTTTCCAAGGTCCTTGTTAAATGTTTATTATAATTGCATAAAACTTTATTTTTAGTCTGTACTTATGTACTAAAAACATTGTTAAGAAATATTTTAGAACAAACGGCTTGCGCAAAGGATTTTTTCTTAATTTCTATGGACGATGACAATAACTTAGTTTGACTGCAGAGCCGATTATGCTACGATTTTTATCGTGTCCAGGAGTCGGCAAAACCTGCATCATCCTGCAAGTGTTAAACAAGATGCAAACGACAGACTCTTTCATACCTATCACACTCAACTTCTCTGCACAGACCAGCAGCAAGAAAACACAGGCAAGAACATATTGCTGTAACTTATACTTAACTTAAATCTATTTACAATTGAAGAAATTAATTAATGAAAACATTTATAGCGATATTAAATTACTTTATTTCAAATACAGAGTTGCTCTGGTATCCAATATATAATTATGACTCTAATGATGGTAGGAGGCGATAGAACAGCGACTGGAAAAACGACCTCGACGTGCGCTGGGCGCGCCTCTCGGCCGCCGCATAGTTGTGTTCGTGGACGATGTCAACATGCCACGTCTCGACATATACGGTGCACAGCCCACCATCGAACTGCTCAGGTAAACTATTACAACACGCCTGGTGAATGAATCTGTATACGCACAATGCTACCTTAATCAAACTGAATTGAGAAATATATTATTATATTGTCTGTTTATATTTGCAGGCAGTTCCTGGATTTCGGTGGGTGGCACGACCGCGACAAATTGTACTGGAAGGAGATCATCGACGTGGTAGTGGTGGCGGCGTGCGCCCCGCCCGGCGGCGGCCGCAACCCACTCACCGCGCGCTTCGTGAGGCACCTCGCCATGCTGCACGTCGCCGCACCGGACTCTACCGCGATGATTACTATATTTAAAGTAAACATTCACCATTCTTTGACTTCTTTTGAGAAAAGTACACGATATTGGTAAAATCACTTTAATTGTATTGGTTATAGTCGATCTTGGGCGGGCACATGGAGGACTTTGTGACTGAGGTGTCCTCTCTGGGGGACAACTTGGTGCGCGCGGCGGTGGAGGTATACGGGCGCGTGTGCGCGCAGCTGTTGCCGACGCCTGCACGCGCCCATTATGTCTTCAATCTGCGAGATCTCTCCAAGTGCGTGCAGGGCGCGCTGCAAGCTCGGGCGGCGTACGTACGCGTCCCACGGGAAATGCTACGGTATCTGCATTTACTTTAATAGATTTCGTTATGTCCAGCTACACCATGAAAAGATAACTCACATTCATATCGTCTTTGAATTGCATCAGTATCTGTTTAGAAGATAAAAAATATCAAAACTGTGTTATTTTTTTTTAGGCTATTCTATCATGAATGTTTGCGAGTCTTCCATGACCGGCTTATTTGCGTAGAAGACAAGACATTCTTCTATAGGCTAATGTGTGATGTTTGCGAGAAGAACTTCAAGGAACCGGTGTTGGAATTGCCGGAAGGAGAGCTTATTGAAGAGCCGCCAATGCTGTTATTTGGAGATTTCATAAATCCCTCATTGCCAAAAGAAATGAGGGTGTACCGGGAACTTCCAGACATGGAAAAACTCATGGCAGTGCTCAAGGTTAGCTATATTCTCAGAGTATAATACTTATAAAAAATTATTATATATCGTAAAATGTCACGATGTATCCAGGAATACCTGGACGAGTACAACGCTAGTGCACGCACGGAGATGCGGCTGGTTGTGTTCAGTGAGATGGCAGAGCACGTGACGCGCGTTGCTCGCGTGCTGCGTGCCGAGCGTGGGCACGCGCTGCTGGTGGGGCCTGCGGGCTCGGGTCGGCGCAGCGTCGCCGCGCTTGCCGCCCATCTTAACGACTGCCGGTAATAACACGGTCAAACTGCACACCTACTACATCTTTATAAAAAAAAAGCAGCGATTTATACACTGCCTTACATTTTGTATTATGTTAATAAAATCGAAAAAGAATGAAACAGGGACAAGGTCGTATGGACTCTATACTGATGGAATGGTTTCCGAGGCAGGTGCATGGGCATGGAGCTTAAGCGGAATTATGACGTGCCCGAGTTCCACGAGGACCTGGTGAAGATGTACATGAGCGCGGGTGTGGCGCTACGAGAGACCGTCTTTCTTTGCACCGACTCGCAGCTCTCTCGTGACGACTTTCTCGAAGATGTCAACAATATGCTTAATACGGGTACATCAATCTGTAAAATTCTGTCTGTGGTAATGGTGGTTGAACTTCCATTGTTACGAAAGTATTTGATGTTTCAGTGGTACTCATTCATTCGACCGATCATTAACGGTTAAGTAATAAGTTGGTATGTTGTTTTTCACAGGCGAAGTAAATAACTTGCTGGAAGGCGACGCGTACGAGCAGATGCAGTCGGGATGCGGACAAGATGCTGCAAAGGCTGGGGTCAACCTCTCCGACCGCGACGCCCTCTATCGGTTCTTCATCAACCGCGTACGCGCCAAGCTGCATCTCTGCATTTGCATGAGCCCCGTCGGCGAAGGTTTCAGGTAATTACATTACCGTAACATTGTCCCGTGAGAGTGTAACCTTTGTAGATCTCTGGGCTTGCTTCGTATGTTAATAGAAAAAAAATTGTTTGCTCACTCATTTGATATTATAATGTGGTGGTGTGTGGTGTATTCAGACGGCGCTGTCGTATGTTCCCCTCCCTGGTGAATTGCTGTACTATTGATTGGCTGACCAAGTGGCCACCGGGGGCGCTGCACTCGGTGGCGCGCCAGTCGCTGGCACCGCTGGCCGACGCCAAGCTCATCAATGACGTATCCACAGTCTGCGTCTCTATGCATCAGGTACATGTAGTTAAACTTTTACCTTGTGTAACATTAAATCTTTACGACAGCTAATTATGAATTGATAACATATGTATACCTGTGTTATTTTGTGTCAGGACGTGGACGTGATGTCAGAGCGCCTATTTACGGAGCTGCGGCGACACTTCTACTCGACGCCCAGCAGTTACCTCGACCTGCTTCAGCTCTACCTCTCGCTGCTGGATGCCAAACGGCAGGAGATCATCTCTGGCCGCGACCGCGTCTCCTGCGGCCTCGAGGTATGTTGTTGAACTCGTTGGCCTATATATTATAGTTTGCTTTTCATTGTGAGCGTGACGTGTACAAATGTGTATATCACATTTCAGTGTGGATATATAATAGTATGGATAATTACACATTTGTATGTTATAGAAGCTGTATAGCGCGTACGAGTCTGTGGGTGCGATGGAGCGTGCCGTACGGGAGATGGAGCCGCTGCTGGCGCGCAAGGCGGCGGAGGGCTCAGCGCTTGCGGCGCGGCTACAGAATGAGCGGCGTGCTGCTGACCTCGTGCGGAGCGCCTTACTCATAGACGAGGCTAACGCCAAGGTGGGGTTTATGGACTTTCTCGACTCGATTTGGTTTCTTGCTACAAAATTTTAAACAAATACAACACGTTCATGTTACACATCGCTTTCTACCTCGACAGATGAAAGCAGACGAGGTTAGGCAGATTGCGGACGAGGCGAAGGCCGACCTGGCCCTAGCCATGCCCGCCATGGAGGCTGCGCAAGATGCACTCAAGGCGCTGAATAAAGCCGATATCAATGAACTTAAAGCCTTTCAGAAGCCTCCAACGCTCGTGCGCTTCGTCATGGAGCCCGTGTGCATTCTGTTAGGAGCAAAGTCAGTTTACCTTACACGTTTTTTTCATTTTAAAAAATAAGAAAATCTGAGCTTATTTGACCGAACCAAAGGTCTACCGAATGATACAAGAAAATAATTTGCAGACCCGATTGGGATTCGACTAAGAAACTTCTGGCCGATGTGAACTTTATCCGAAACCTGCAAGAGTACGATAAAGACCACATCCCCGACGCCACCCTTAAAAAGATCAAGACTTATCTCACGCACAAAGATTTTAATCCCGATACCGTCGTCAAAGTCTCCAAGGTAACTTATTATATTTGTTAACCCACTGATATCCAGGATGCCTAATATATCCGTGAAATAATTACTTACATCTAGATAAATAACTCTAAATAACGTAAGTACTTTGTACTCGGATGGGCGTGTCTCGATGTAGAAGTGAATTGCAGTTTTGTTTTGCGTAGGTGTGTCGCTCCATGGTGCTGTGGGTGCAGGCCATCGACATGTATGCCAAGGTGTTTCGAGTCGTGGAGCCCAAGATCCTCAAGTCAGTGAAACATTTTAATATTTTGTATTTCATAATTTTCATTCAGTCACTTACACGAAGATTGTGTGTCGGTTGCAGGCACAAGGAGGCGGCGGGTATCCTGCGCAGCGTAATGGCGGAGTTACGCGCCAAACAGAAGCAAGTAGAGGCCGTGGAGGCGCAGCTGGCGGCCATGCAGCGCGAGCTGCAGGTTGTAGAGGAGGAGCGAGACCGGCTGCAGGCGGATGTGCAGCTGGCCGCCGCCCGTCTGGCACGCGCTGGTAGCCTCACGCAGGCGTTAGCCGATGAACAGACACGCTGGGAGAATAGCGTCAAGGTTATCTATCCTAAGTCTCCAAGCGGTACCTGTAGCTGCATTAGGAATTTTGTTTATCTATAAATTTAAGGTCTTAGCACTTTGCTCAGCGCCCTAAAATTATCAAGCATTCCCAAATTAGCCGAAACTAACATTTAACTTTTCTCTGGTGGATTCCAGGAGGCGTCGTTGCAGCTAATTGACGCGACGGGCAACGTGCTGGTGGCGGCCGGGTGCATCGCGTACTTTGGCGCCTTCCCCGCGCACTACCGCCGAGAACTCGAGCACAAGTGGGTGGCGCACTGTGCAGAACTCCAGATACCCGCGTCTCCCACTTTCGAGTAAGTCTGTATTTTTACTTTAACTAAATTATATATAAGTACGTTTGTCGTTCTCCCTAATCGTATGGACATACAGTACATGATTTCACGTATATTATCGAGTTAAACAAGACAATACTGATGCATACTGTTTATGTTATAGCCTGGTGGGAACGGCGGCGGGGCCGGGGGCGCGGCTGGCGTGGCAATCGCAGGGGTTGCCGCGAGACGCCGGCTCTGCTGAAAACGCTACTTTGGTCGTGAGTGCCGGCCGTCGACCACTCGCCATAGACCCTCAGCAACAGGTTGATCTCCACATACTCGTGTTTAACTACCTCCGTGCGGAGCGCCACTTTCACACACAGAGACATTGTTTGTCGATGTGCGATTTACAGGCGAACCGGTGGATAAAGAACATGGAACGAGAGAACGGTCTACACGTGGCCAAGCCGACGGCACCGAATCTGCTGCGGATAATGGAGAGCTGCGTGCGGCTTGGCTGGCCGCTGCTGCTGGAGGACGTAGGCGAGGAACTGGACGCTGCACTCACACCGCTCTTGCTTAAACAAACTTTCATGCAGGTATTACCAGCACACCTACGACACACGTCAATTGAAAGAAATACAAATTCTAACATGAACATCACTAACTAAACTACTATAGGCTTCATATTTAGGTTTTCATTCTGGCAGTAGTATGACCGCAACTACCACCAAACACCAACAGAATTGAACATCATTAGTTTTGCAAATAAGTGAGAGTGTACCAATATAAAAGAGTTTAATATCAGGGTGGTCGTCTGCTAATCCACCTCGGCGACAGCGACATAGAATACGACCCGCACTTTCGGCTCTACTTGACCACGAAGCTTGGCAACCCGCACTATCTGCCCGAGATTTGCATCCAAGTCACGTTGGTTAACTTCACCGTCACGCTCTCTGGACTGGAGGAACAACTGCTCGCGTAATTACAACAATTTGTCTTTCTTAAAAATTTATTAAATAAAAATCTTCAAACCTATAATAATACTCATATCGTCTTAAATCACACATCATTATAAAGTAAGTAATATAATAAATATATGTTGTAAAGTGAGGTAGTGAGCCTGGAGCGTCCCGAATTGGAGCTGCAGCGTACGCAGTTGACGCAGCGCATCGCCGCGGATCGCGCCTCACTGCTCGACATCGAGGAGCGCATCCTGCACCTGCTTCACGCTTCCACAGGGAACATCCTCGACGATGAGGTCCTCATCGAGACGCTCAACGAGAGCAAGGTAACACCGCACGGCGCAGCGTCTATGTCTGCTCTTCAGTTTAACCATTGCACCCTACACTACATATTGAAAGCACCCGTAACTTTTAGTTATACAAAAAAGGGTCTTGACAGACAGACAAATGATCTTATAAGGATTCTGTTTTTTTCCTATGAGGTACGGAACCCTTAAAAATGTATAATATGATGTTTTTCTACAGGAAACGTCTGAAATTATCTCGGCGCGTTTGGCCGAAGCGGAGATTACTGAGCGTAGCATAGGCACGGCGCGCGAGCGGTACCGGGAGGTGGCAGCGCGCGGCGCATTGCTCTACTTCGCTATTGCACAGCTTGCGGACCTCGACCCCATGTACCAGTTTTCCCTGTCGTACTTTACACAAGTGAGCAACCGACGAAAGTCAATTTGGGAAAATGGAGTGATTGTGATTGAAATAAACAAGTATGGTAATAACATAAATTTACTGCAGATATTCAAGCGCGTGGTGGAGGAGCCGGCAAAGGAGGGCGACACAGTAGAGACGCGCGTGGCTGCGCTTGTGGACAGCGCCACACTGGCGACACAGCGTGCGGTGTCTCGCGCCTTGTTCGCGAGGCACCGGCTCGCACTCTCCATACTGCTGACCGCCGCCGTGCAGCTGCACTCAGGCGCGCTACCGCACTCCTACTGGCACTACCTAATGCACGGCGCGGGTGCGCCCGCCGGCGTCAGTACACACATTTTTGAATAACCACAACATTACAACCGGTGATTTTACTTTTTTATGTCAAAAAAATTACCAATTTTACGGTATATTTGTTTGGTTCATAGGGAATGCCAAAGAAGCCTGCGACGGAAGCGATATCCGAGCAGACATGGGCGGCGGTGAATTTCCTGCACGAGCACGAGGCTGCCTTTGTTGGCCTCCCTGACGACTGTCTCAAGCGCATCCCACTCAATGTTGGAGAATATTTTGTTGTAAGACTCCTCATTTTACACAGAATCCCTACATCTAACTTTAACGTAAAATAATGAAGGTACGACTGCTGTCTTGTTACCATCTTGAACTTGTTAACAATACACTACAAACTCTTAGATTTTATTCAACAAAAATGTATAAGCAATTTAAAATATACATCCTTATTTCTATAATTACATATAGTCTTAAATTTATGATATAAAATATTTAAAAAAAAACGAATATACAAACTGTATCTAAATTATTCAAAATGCTTGAAATATAAAACAGGAGATTCATGTTGACAAGACGAACACGAGCAAGCCGACGGTGGACTGGGACAATCGGCTATCGCCGTTTGAAAAACTGATGCTGCTCAAATGCTTGCGCGAAGAGAAGCTTGTGTTTGCGAGCTCGCAGTACGTGTCTCTTTCGCTGGGTCCCGCCTTCATCGAATCTCCGCCAGTGCAGTTGCCGACACTGTAAGTCATGGAAGACAAATCGATTTCACGATCTACAACTGCCAGAAATAAATATTCTTAGTGTTAATTGTTGTTACTTTCAGATATGCTGATACGAACTCTACAACACCCTTGGTGTTTGTGCTTAGCACAGGTTCAGATCCTTTTGGCGCGTTCCAGAAGTTCGCCACGGACAAGGGCATGCGCGACCGCGTTAACTTCATTTCTCTGGGACAGGGCCAGGGGCCGGTTGCTGAAAAGATGATCAGCGATGCCAAGCCGAAAGGAGATTGGGTATTTTTGCAGGTGAGATATATTGTGTACTACCATTTTAATTTTCTCACGTGGAATTGTAACCAATTTATTAAAATAACTTTGGTTTCTGCTTCTAAAGCATTTTCGTTTAATAAAATCCACAGAATTGTCACTTGGCAGCATCCTGGATGAGAAATCTGGAGATGATTGTAGAAAGTTTTACCAGCGACCAGGCTCCGATCCATGAAGAGTTTCGTTTATATCTAAGTTCTATGCCAACTCCCAAATTCCCAGTTTCTGTGCTACAGAACTCAGTTAAAGTTACCAACGAACCACCTAAAGGTCTAAAAGCCAATGTAAAAAGAGCACTAATTGAAATGGATGCAGATTTCTACGAGAATCATGGTGAGAGATAATATGTTGATAGTGATTCATTTGTTTTTTTTTTCTACCTTCTAGTGTAAATATTATTTTCAGTATTGGAGCAGGACTGGCGCACGTTGGTATTCGGCATCTGCATCTTCCACGCCCTGGTGCAGGAGCGCAAGAAGTTCGGTCCACTCGGCTGGAACATCTCGTACGAGTTTAGCGACAGCGACCGCGAGTGCGCCATTCTCACGCTGCAGATGTTCTGCGCCGGCGGGGAGATACCTTGGGACGCGCTCGAGTATATCACCAGTTAGTACATCGGTTATCCTGTATTTGTCATCATCTTTAACAATATCAAATGGTAACCAATGCTATGGTTTATTTCTGGAAGATAAGTAGAAGTCGGTGTGGTGTAAACACGTGCAGGTGAGATAACGTATGGCGGTCGTGTGACGGACATGTGGGACCAGCGGTGTCTGGCAGCGGCGCTGCGGCGCGTGGTGTCGCGTGCCGCACTCAACCCCGAGCACTCGTACTCGCCATGCGGCCGCTACGCCTGCCCGCGCGTCCCGCTGCTTGTAGACGCCCAGCGCTACATTGACGGCCTTCCTGACAACGAGCCTCCCGGCCTTTTCGGCTTACACGATAACGCCAATATCACATACGAGGTCAGTACCAAGCTACGACCAATTACGATTTACACTGCTGTTCATCTGAAGCTTTAATACTGTCACAAACTATGTTTTGTAGCGGCAAGAGACGACCGCGCTGCTGCAGACGATAGCGGAGGTGCAGCCGCGAGCGGGGGGCGCGGGCGGGGAGCCGCCCGAGCGCCTCGTCTGGCGCATCTGTGAGTCCACGCGCGCCTCCGTGCCCCACAAGGTGCTCTTGTCTAACTGCACACCTAATGTTAAAGCCTTCATAAAACAATACTGCGCCTCTCTTTGACTAGCGTATAAGTAATATATACTATTGCTGTAAGGTGGACACGTCGGTAACGCACGAGTCAGTGTTCGCGGTGGACGAGCGCGGGCAGCCGCTATCACTGGCCACGGTGCTGCACCACGAGCGCAAGCAGTACGACACGCTGCTAGCTCTGCTGCACTCCAGTCTGCGCGAGCTGCAGCGCGCTGTGCAGGTACAAAATACTACTAAAATAATGACTCGACATACCTGATGAATGTTATCTGAATGACAGCGTGTCATGTGCGTAGGGCGTGGTGGTTATGTCTGAGGCGCTGGAAGAGGTGTTTAACGCGCTGGCTAACGGACGCGTGCCCGCCATGTGGCACGCCCGCGCTTACAACTCACTCAAGTCGCTCGGCAGCTGGCTGCACGACCTCGCACTGCGCGTTGATTTTATAGAGGTAAGTTACAGTTTCCTATCGAACATTCAAATATTTATTAGATTCTAGATATTTCTCGATGTAGGGAGTGGCTCAATGTGCTTGACCTTCATTAATCTTATAAATGTGGTGCAGGCGTGGTGGCGCAAGGGGCGTGGCGAGAGCAGCTGGCTGCCGGGGCTGTTCTTCCCTCAAGGCCTACTGACGGGGGCGCTGCAGACTCACGCGCGCCGCAACCGCCTGCCTATTGACGTGCTTGCCTTCGACTTCCACCCCACCTCTGTCTTCATATATCAAGACGATATTTACACTTTTAACAAGCACCCTAAGGTTTGCGTAACTGTTTACGTATTTTTGGAAAAGAGAAAAAGTGATCACCGTTATAGAAACTGCATATATATACCTATTTAAGCACGTGACACAAGTCAATATTGATTGCAAAGTACGTTTACGTTGTGCAGGAGCAAGTGGATGTGTACGGAGGGCTGGAGGCGCCAGACGAGGGCATCATCATCCACGGCCTGTACATCGAAGCAGGTCGCTGGGACGTGCCCAACGCCTGCCTCGCAGACGCTCTGCCAGGTACACATCCATAATCACTTTACCAGCTTATTTAACCTTGACTATACAGTCTTTACTACTCACTACTTTTATTTCATTTTTGTGTTTGCATTTTCAGTCACAAGGTGGCATTAAAATCAAAATAAATCGAAGAAAACTCTTCGGATAGGCATATATGCATGTGTTTTAGTTCATTCGACAAACTCGAATACATCCAGTTGATGTTTTACAACAACATTTCTTTTAATAAGGTAGGTTGACGCAATATTACCATACCATGTGGGTGTGCAGGTCAGACATGGTCGTGGCTGCCGGCAGTGCGGGTGAGCTGTCGCGTGGGCGCGCCGCCGGCTGGCGGTCGGTACGAGGCGCCGCTGTACCGCACGGCGGCGCGCGCGGGCGTGCTCGCCACTACTGGACACAGCACAAACTTTGTCATCGCTATATTGCTGCCGGCAGATCATCCCTCGGACTTCTGGATCCTGCGCGGCACCGCACTGCTCACACAACTCTCGGACTGAATACTTTTGAGATGATTACATTTTGTTCTAGATCATTTTATTGTAGAATATTTTATTTTGTTACTCTATTTTATTGTTATGAATATTGTTTTGTAGACTATAACTGTGGTGTATAAAGCGTTACGAGAGAAGCATTTTATTAGAAGATTAATTTAAATATATACATCCATATACCTAATATCAATAAAACTATAGCAGCTACCTTCCAGGACATGTAACAATGTGGTTACATTGAGTTGTACTCGTAACATTGTCGCAGCGTCAGGAATTCAAATGTTTAAATAAAACCCAAAAATACGTAAAATTAGTTTTATTCAACCTTCATTTTCATTAATTCATACGTAACTGCAATATGAAAATTTTTGAATGTTTACCTCAATGTTAAGTTTTACAAATGAGTTTATTTCTCTAAAGATTTTCTTATATGTAAAACATTTCTTCCATAAAAATACCAATATCTACAATCTTTTCTATCATTATTTGTTGTAAACTGTCCCCTCTAAATGTTGTAGAGCGCGTGGGGTAGCTATTAGTTCAGTGTTGAGCTGTCCGTGTCGCGCCCGCAATGGATATCACAGCAGAGACAAACAGTGCGCGACACCCGGCCTGCCTCGCACACGCAACACACAATCGCAAACCATAAACATTCATTTACTTCCATTACAAAATAAACACAATATAAACAATCAGGACCATGTTTATGTTATACAGAGGGACATCGCGTGGAGCTGACATGTTGACAACACTCCACACACACTTAGCCTCCATTTGTACGGACGCTATTCTATCGCGCATTAAAATGCATTCCACTATAACAAATGCATTTCTATATATTTCTTCATACGGCATCGCTTTTATGACGCGACGCTTTTATCGCGCAGTATTGCATTACGAGCTCTGGCCGAACGAAACGACTGATTTTAAATCGTTCGCGCGAGTCTCTAAAACAGATTTGTAACGCAGCGTTAAAAAAGCACCCGTGCGAATGAGGGCTTTACGCACAACTCCACTGCACTGACATTTGTTTTGACACATATTGACATCTCTTTCATTCCCTTTGATAAAAACAGAGACAACAGCATATATCAAACAAGAGTCACCGCAATGTAATTCTACAGTTACATCTCACGAGGACGCGCACTCGACACAAACACACTAACAAATTATTAATTTTAATAATTTCTTTTAATACGACTATTATCATTAAACTAATTTAGAAATTGTTACAACTTTCTCTCTTTGAATGCGTGTTAAAATAATATACACAAAGGCAATGAAAACGACAGACAAATGTATTAATGAAAGAAGTTGAATTTGGTACATTTCATTATAATAATAATTGATATCGAAAAGAGACATTCCGCTGAATAGCAAGTCGATATTTTTTGGTATAATCTCTGCCGCTAACAAAGTTCTATTTTACTTGAATACATGAAAGCGCAACATTTACTTTATAACAATTTATCTTCAGCTCGTCTCTTTCCGAATAATTGCGTCCACACACATTCATTACAAATATTTGAACTGATATCCCTCACGGGTTTGGTAAACAGTCTACAAATTAAAAAATAAAGAAAATATGAAAAAAAAAAGGATAAATACAAGTCACATTGGATTAATATTACAATAAGAATGTTTATGAATAATTATAAAGTATTTCAATGTATACATTTGAACATTTTAGGAACAAGAGAGAATATTCACAAGCCAATATAAGTTATTCTCAAAATATAATTCTCTGTGAATTCAATTGCTCAATTATTATTGCTATTATTTATCCAATTAATTTAAGTATTCGCTTAGGAATAATACGAAAATACACTACACGTGAACTACACTGAAATATTTTACAATTCATTCTCAAAACAGAAAACATTTTTAATCATTTTATTATTACATTGATTTATTCAAATTATACATTGCTCTTGAAATTTCCTCCAATTTTTGTCATATATATGACAAAAAGATTAATATGATGGTACATTACACATTATTATTTAACAAATGTAAAATTAGTTTAGCATTAATCATTGAAAACATTATGATGATAAATTTAAATTAACATATTAACATATTTTCAGGCAATATTGTAATAAAAAAATGGCATATTATGGACAACACAAATGAAACATTGAATAACAAAAAGTTCACATATTGGATTCACCAAAACGAACTATATCAATTGTTAAAAAAACAAATACATTTGAAAGGCTTTGAAATTGAAATATAATTACAATTAATTGTCATTGAGACACATTGTTCACAAAACCTTTCTGTCAAATATTTTTGCTGCGTGTCATTTAATAAGGAATAATATAACAAGTGCTGCATTTAATATATTTCAAATGTGATGTGCACTCCGCAATGAACAACAATGAACCTGTTGTCTTGACGATGCTTTAATGTATTTATATATGTCAGAATAATGGTCAAAAGTTGTAAGACCGTTGTATGCGTGGCGGGCAATGGACGCGGCCAGGCAACAACGGCCGCACAATGCACACTACGAGCGGCGGACACCTAGCAAATTGGTTTTTATAATTTCCATCTTTACAAATAAACACGTTACAAGACACTGTACCCTTAAGACTGACCGATGATTTTCATTATGAAAGAAGTGTTAGCGTGGGGCGGGCGCGACTTTGCGATGACACGGTCGTCACGTGTGGTAGACGCGTGGGTCGCGCGGCATATCCGAGGCGGCCCGGCCCCACGCGGACTCCTAGTCGTCCGACATGAACGAGTTCTGCGACTTGAGCTCCTCCAGCCTCGTTATCTGCTGCCGCAAATACATCACCCTGCACAATCAATTTCAACATTTATATAACTATATTTATAAATTACTCTGGTAAAGTAGAGTTATAATGTATATTCCTACTTTTGTTCCTGCAGCGTGGCCTGTATCTCTGTGTGTCGTACGAGCGAGCGCGCGCACTTCAGCTCAGCGGAGACCCGCGTGCACTGCAGGCAGCCCAGCTGGTACGCCTCCTCCGTAAACTTGTTCGCCTGCAAACACACATCATTGTCACAATTATTTTATACGATTTTAAACAACAGATTACTTCGGAGGAAAAAAATATATGCGAGTTTAGTGTTATGAGGTAAGCTAAGTGTGTAGGAGAGGAGAAAGGCGGTGCTGAGGTAGATACCTGTTTCTCTAGTATGTCGGCGGGCCAGGCGGCGACGTGCGCGGTGAGGTCCGCGCGCACGTAGTTCATGAGGGAGGGGGTCAGCATGGGCGCGGCGTGCTGCAGCGGACCCCCCACCACCGACGAGTAGCTGCCCAGGCACTCCACTGTTACACCACAACCACATTTTATCTTAATACAATATAAAAATATACATATTGCTAGCTTATTCTTATTTATTTATTATACAATATATTGCTTGTTTAATAATATAAATATGTTACCTAAACAAGTTTTTTTTTTAACCGAAACGATATTTCAGGCGTCAGTGTCAAGGCTAGACGAAACTTAAATATGTATCGGGCACTAACTTTTCCTGGGCAGCGCTGTGTCGAGGTGTAGGGGCGGCGCGTGGGGGTCTGTGTTCTCCGAGTGCGTGGGCGTGGGGGGTCCAGCGTCACGATGCGGCGTGCACCCGCCCGCGTCCGAGCACCCGGTTACACCCGCCATCGCCGCCGAGCCCCCCGCCATGCCCACTGCGCCCCCCGAACACGTCACACCCGCCACCCCGCTGCCCATCGACACCGGCGTGGCCACGATACGCGGCAACGCCGCCGCAAGCAGCGATCCCGTCTAATAATACAAGGAACATTATAATACTCTTATAATCATTAAAATATAATAAAAATTTGCAGATACATATAATATAAAGTATGTTATGATAGTGTCAGCGTGTTGTTTGTAGTACTTACTTGCTGGTTAGAGTTGTCGAGTACGACGACTGGGGGCACGGCGTTGTCTGAGCGCGGGACTTCGCGCGGGTACGAGCTCTCCGACAGCGGCGTGCTGCGGTCCGGCGAGATGTCCATGTCCTGTGTCTGCCCATCTGCTTACACAGTCAACACAAACACTTTCATACACTTGCAACCAGTACACATTTCAGTTACAAAACTGCACATATAACAAAACTATCTCAGTATCAAAGATATTGTTCATATCTTGATTGTCTTCTTTCTCTCTCTCTCTCTCTCTCTCTCTATGCCTAGTATGGTGCTTACCCTTGGCATCGTGCGAGTGTTTGGTTCGCGGTCGTTCGTGCGGATGCGAATCGTCATCGCGTCCACTCCAGTATCGGTCTGAGGCGTTGTTGGAACGCTTGCTGCGCGACTGCTCCGACTCTCGCCTTCCGGACCGCGACCGCGACCTTTTCTCTCTGTCACGATCTGCATACACAAAACTTGTATAAAAACAATCATATACATTATACAACATACATCTCTCGCGTGAAGACGAACATGACGTGACAACCAAAAACCGTCTCAATAGAAATTATTTGGACAAATACAAATGTCAATGTACAGGTTGTTACAGCAGTAACTAGCAGTAGCTCATAGTTGTTAAGCTATCTATGTTACAAATTAGTATATTAAGTTTAGTGATTTTATAGTTTATATAAGAAATATAAACAATCAAATTACAAAGTTTCATTAAAGAGGATGAAATTGCACTAACATTCCTTAAAAATATATAGTGGAACACTTTTGACCTGATATTAATAGAAATAGATTACTACTTTATTAACTAGAGTAAATTGTGTTTTACCTAAGGGATGGCGACCCAAGGGCATGTCACTGATTACAAAATCCCTATGGACTACGAATTTAAGCATAAAATAGACACTTCTATTGATTCATGTTGTTTATTATGTTTTTTTTTCAAAGAGAATGAATTGAAATGGATATAGCGCAGAGTTAAAATACTTTCAAATGCCTTAAATTTCTAACTATTTGCACAGTTTTATAAAATGTGATTGCAAGCTATATTACAGGCAGGGAATATACAAATATAACTTATGAAAGATATCTAGTAACAATTTGTAATTTTGTACAGAAAGTGATTTTGTTAACAAACCAACAATGTAACATTTTCTCATAAGTAGTGACATACTTTGCCTGCTACAATATCATCATGACTTAAGTACAATTTAATTTGGAAGAAATTTACACTTATTCGGTGAGATTTAGTACATCAAGAAATACAAATAGTATAAGATTGATGGTGAGGTGAAAGTTGTTTGCTAATAAATTAAAACACTCAATATAGGGTCAATTGCAAATGCTTAATGTTACTAGATAAGACCTAGGTCTCTGATAATATGCTCTACACTGACACACAATAACAACAACCTATCATCTTACAATGTAACACTAACTTGTTTTAGCGAAAATTTAGTTGGATGAAATATAGAACCATAAATAAGGTATTATGTAGGACGCAATAGTTTCTTAACTTTATTCACTGTCTGGTAAGAATGTAAGAGAAATGAACAAATCACACCAAAAATTTCAACTCATCTGATGAAAATGGTTACAACTAGTGTGAGAGATCTTAAATGGGGAAAGCTTTGTTATAGCAAATGAAAGTAGACAAACAAGCAGCCTCTTGACCAAAATAGTCCAATGAAATTAACATTGGCCATCAATCTATATATGCAGATGATTTGTGACTATCAACAGGGGGTGTAGATGCCAGAGTATATTTCTAGCAGACACTACGCCTTGCCTAAATGTAGTCTGTTTGGCATAAATAAAAGTATAAACTTTTGATTGGTCAGTACTGACAATATCTTTGATTTTAGACTAAAATATTTTTTGTACATGAATATCAACTTCATATTAACATTATACTTTTTATATTAATAATGAACATTTACATTGTAGTTTACTTCAAACATACAATACATATACTGGTATTGACAAATCAGTAAAGTAATGCTTTTATATTAGGCTCCTCACACAGATTTCCCTTAGAGAACTAGAAAGTGGTTTCTTGTACTACAATCACATTATTTTTAGTTCAAACACACTGTCACTTATCTACTTGATGTATATTAGAAAATGTTATATGTTGGTATGTAATGTAATATAGGATACAAATATAAATGTTATTTGTGCATGTTGCAAAAAACTTAGGGGAGGTTCTGAGATGAAAGTGGTAAATCAAAATAACGGATTTAAAAATAGAGATGTTAGTTAGGGAATAGCCAGAAAAACTTAAAAATTGGTATCAAGGGAAGGATCTTCCCATCCTAGCTTATGATTCAGAGATATAATTTTTCTATGGCATTATATTTAGCAACAACAAAGCATGAACATATTTTGGAGGTCATCACTGTGTCTGCATTTTAAATAATAGAAGGCCCCAAATTTTCAATAATAGAATCTAAAGCCAAGCTTCATAACAAAGCATGTCAAATATAATCTTTAAAGATTAATCTCTGTGATAAGTATTTTTGGAGATATTTGGATATTTCAAGGTGATGAGCACAGCATAGTTCCAATATATGTAGGCAAAATGTTTATTATTTGGCTCTAGTTGTGTTTCATAGGATGGTCCATTATGTTTGCAATATTTCTCAATATTTAAAAAGGGCAGTATTCAGAGCAAACAAAACTGACATGCTTAGAAGAAGCGAGAGAGGAGTGCCAGGACCATCCTAAAGAGTCCTGTCTTTGCCTATATCTATTTTGGTCATTATAGATTACAATAACGGTATTACATGTAGTAGGATACTACATATATAGGTCCTGACAATGTGTAAACATAGTAATTATATGCTACAAACATAATTATTTATAATACAAATTGCTCATTACCTGAGCACACTGAAGAAACTTATTGTGGTGTATTATAATGGAACATGAACAAATTTAAATGTTTGGACATGATAGATTCACTATCAGAAAATAAAACAGACTTATGATGTGATTGGATTAGTCCTAGATTGAGTTGATTAATACAGACTAATAACTTGGCAATTACAATTAATGATAAACTATTTTGTAAATAATTCTGGGAGATCAATTTATTTATAAAACTTGATATAGATGACAATTGCCATTGAATAATATAATTACTTAAATAGTTATTTTGGAATGAAGTACACTTAATGTTATGACATTTAGTAATTATTATGTTAATTATTAAAATTTGTCAAATCATTAACAGTAAAAGGTTGATAGATATATTAGTTTAAAAACCCCTATTGCATATAGATTTAAATATAAAACAATATATAATATAAATATCTGAAAACTACCTTTTAACTTCCTAATCATTTAATTGTCTCTTCTGTCATATAAAATAGGTTTAGAAAAAATAACACATGGCTCTTTACAATACCACATTGGTCATTCTTCCCCATGCAATACTTAACAAATCATTTCCTTAAAATATGTGGTTTATAATAATAAGTAAACATAATTTTACTATTAAATGTATTCAAGTTATATATAAATGTAATTTTCTACTTATTAAATATTGATAATTATGAATTTTAGTACATAGCATATTATATTAAAAAGAGTTAGCATGCAATACTCACTGCTTCTGGTAGAGTATGTGGAATCTTTGGATGTTGTCCTGCGGGAGTCCCATTCCCGTGGCTTCTCCCACTGTGACACTTCACTGATAGAGTTATAATAGTACTTCTTCCCTGATGAACTAATATGTTCTGACCATTCACTTCCTGCAGGCACGCTTGAAACTGGTGCACTTCTTTTATCATATTTACTACTCCTACTAACACTACAGTTCATGCTACTAGTCCTACTTTTTTTCTCAGATTCACATCGTTCATGGTTGTTCTTCTCTCTATCACATTCTTTGCTACGTTTCTCTTTCGGTGATCGAACACTGTCTGAAAATCGTTAATAATAGATATTATTAACCTGAACATATACGATGGAGACTGTTGTGTACAATTTGAAAACATATTAATTAATTAGTAATGAAAATGACTAGATTGTGTACATAAACAAATGTCAATATTTGTATATGTGCATTCGCTTTCACTATGTATCAAACACATTCGCATTTGCTGTTATATAACTACTCATATAATTATAACATTTACTCAATAATTAGTAAAACTTAGATGAAACAATATAGTATGTTTTAGTAATGGTTTTGCTTTTATTTTGAGTTTAGTTTTGAGAGGCAAGGAAAATGCTTACTTTCTTTATACCAGACATGTTTTATATCACAGTAGCTTTTTAAATATGGCATGATATAATGCACTAGCTGCTTATATACCAAAGTAGCAAAGAGCCAGAAGTATTAGCACAGCTTTTTTGTTGCTTATTGATAGAACTCTCTGAGTACTTTGATAATGAAATGAAACCCACCTGTGTACTTATTTCTAGATGATTTGTAGTCTCGATCTCTCTCCTTTTCGGAATCTTTTTGCATGTAGGAATTTCTTGGTACTGTATGTGGCCTTTGGTCGGACACATGACTGTAGTGGTGGTGGGCCGAGTGGGTCGAGTGACCGGTGTGGCCGCTGTGGCCATGTCCATGTGTAAACACATTGCCATTTGGTGATCTAAGTGATGCATAGCGTGTATCAGGAATGTAGTCACTATTTGTCCTCTCAATCTTGGAATTGTACTTCTGAATGGGAAACAAACATTGTTAAATAAATACAACCATCACCAACACAAATGCAGCAGTAAACATAAACATGTTTGTTTATAAAATGCGAAAGTAAAAGTTGCACAGGTTATGTATGTACAAGTTGTCAGTAAGGAATCTTTGAAAATAGCCCATATATAGAATAGAGCTTGTCCAATAAATTGAATACGTTAAGTTTTTATAAGTTTCCGATATACTCCCAACAAATATATGACAAATTACGAAAGTTATAAAAATGCTAATATGGTCTTCGAGTTAATTAGATTATTGCAAGGAAAGTGTACAACAAAGACACCTAAATTGATCACTAATTCAAGCAAAGTACTGATAGAAATGAAGCTATCTAGCAGGAAAAGATGCTTCCAGTGTAATAACATCGGGAATGACTCGAATCTGGATAATGTAAGCATGTTTTTTAACTATTATCTATATGATGTCATTTGAAAATAATTTGAAAGAAAGGCTTACCTGATACGGATGGGTTTGGTGCTTCTCAAAGTACCTGAAATCAGAAAAAACATTTAGTGTTCTCGTAGGATCCACATAGCACTTGTCGATCGGCGACCGCCATCTATATATTATATGCTAATACTTAGCATAAGAAAACGTAACGTACCCATCGCTTATTCGCTGAGGTTTCCTTGCATGCATTACCATCAATGCAAATGTACGAATATTTTACGGCATCAGTGACAAAATGTAAAATAAGACCACCGTTACAGTTTTATAAGAGGCCGCAATACATCTTGATGGACGCCATGTCACATTCGAGACACTCGAGAGAGAGTCGATAGAAACGCGAAAGAGATAAAAAGTAAAACGACAACGTATACTGGTAGAAGAATGACGGGGGTTAATGCATAGTTTTGTGTATGATTATCCTTTATAAATTAAAGTATATTTTAGTTAATTGACTAAATCTTTAAATAAGTTGATTGTCTGATTTCCAAGTATGTATTTAATTTTTTTCGGAGAATTTACAACGCTACAAACTTTTGTCATAGATAAATTAATAGTCATCCTTACTCTATGGCAAAGATAATTAAAGTTGTTACGATTATTTTTTAATTTTTCAAGATACTAAACTTAAATTGTCGGAAAATATAATTACGATTTTTGTTAATTATTCGAAATGTAGCAATATTTCTTCTCTTGTCTTCAAGCAATGCTGTCAAGTTGACAATTGTTCGACTGCCATTTGCAATTGCCAATGTCAATCTCAATCTCTACTCTCTTAAAAAAAGTTGAAAATAACCTCACCCAATACCTCATTGAATATAATAAAAATTATCAAAATTAAAATATGGCGAAACTTGTGGATTTAGAGTTGAAGAAAGCTTTTTCGGAATTACAAGTAAAAATTGTCGAAACCCGAAAGAAAATCAACGTTATCGACGTTCAAATTACAGCATTGAACAAAGTATTGAAGTATATTGATTCTTCGCGAAAGGAGTTACAGGTTTTGGAAAATGATACCAAAGCTTATATTCCAGTGAGCAGAATGTTTCTTCAGGCAGACTTAGGTGAATTAAAGGAAAGTATCGACGACCGTGTCTGTATGCTTAATGAACGTATCGTTGAGTTAGAGAACAAAAAGGAGTACTTGGAAAGAAAACGTAGGGAAAGTGAAGATAACATCAGAGAAATGATTCAGCTACGGAAGGTGCAGTTCGAGAGTGAAGTCAATAAAATGTCTTAATGCATCCCAATTATGTATGTCTACAAATGCACTTTCAAATTCTATGGAGGATTTTTAATTACTAATTTACTATGATTAATTTTGACTGCAAATATACTGTATTACTAATTATTTATAAATTCTTATAATTAAATGATCTAATTGTGATTGCCCATATGATGTTACTGTCTCAAAGGGTTATTAATAAATCCTAATAAAAACTTATTATTTATTTGTGTCTTATTGTTAATCTTTCATTTTTTTGACTTCTTGAGGGAGAAATAATTTACAGGCAATAGCATAAATAGGCATAATGTTGAACAGTAAAATTGTAACAAATGGTTACTTTTGTGAATTCTGACTGTTGCAAATGTATTTTATATGTTACATTAAATGATTCAGTACGAAACAGTTAAAAATGTAAACTCATGTGGCCACATAAAAATCTGTGACAACTGTGCATAGAAGTGTTTCAATATGACTTGACTTGACTTAAAGTCCAATGTCCTCGTAATGGGGAAGAGAGCATCCACAGTGTGCCACCAGTTCGCTCTATCTTGGGGTGTGTGTTTGGTCTTGGGCCATGTCAGCCATGATTATCTTCATGTCGGCAGCCACTGAGCTCCGCCATGTTTGTTTAGGAAGGCCACATCTTGTCCCTAGCAGGATCCACTCCAGAGCCACCCTGGGAATATGACTGGGATCCCGACGAAGCATGTGGCCGATCCATGACCACTTGCTTCAATATATTCTTCTAAAATTAAAAGATTGGCATCTTGGTTTCTTCTCTTACAAACTTGATAAACCATACACCTGTCCAAAAGTGTTTATCTGTCAGTCTTAGCACTATTTCAAAATATTTTTTTAATATAGAGGTACCTTCATTTTTTTCTAACTAAAAATATATGAGGGTAAAAATCATAGTGCATCAGTATCTATATTCTATTGTAACCTTTATCTTCTTCATTGATGAGTGAAATGTCAAGAGCTCTTACTATGTTGGGCTTACATTGATATGTCTTACTGAATAAATTAAGTTAATAAAAAAAACAGATGAATTGATAACCTCCTCCTTTTTGAAGTCGGCTAAAAATACTCTCTCTCTGTGTGGCTTTTTATCCCACTAGTTGTTACCCAAGACTACCTCAGCGTGGAATAATAAAATCAGTAGCCTATATGTTCTTCCAGACTATGTTCTACATCTATGCCAAATTTCAGCGTGATCCATGCAGCCGTTCTGGAGATATCTTCTAATGATCATCCATCGAACTAAACTTTTGCATTTATAATAATTAGATATGGTGGTGGGTTCAGTTTTTCTTATCATACCTTTCACTTTGTTCTATGGTTAACATCGTTTGAGACTTAGTCACCTTTCTGTTCAATACAAATTAAAGATAATAAAATTTAAAAAACTACCATAGAAAAGTATATAATATTGAATAATTGATGTGTTGTTTGTTTATAAGAAAGTTGTTTGTGTGAAAAGGATCATGCAGACATGATAACCTCCAAGCTTGCATTTATAGAACATGTTTACATAAAGATAAGTAAAAATCAATGTCCTTAAGTTTCAACAAGTAAACATGTTATTGTAAAGAGACAATTTATCTGAAGAGGTGATTAATAATACAAAATGAAAATTTCTAATGTTTACTCCATACATCCTACTGTTTGTTTGAAGGTATCTCTGGAAGGGCTCAACGGATCTTTATGAAATTTGGTACATATGTAAAACATAGTTTGGAATATCACATATGCTATTTATTAACTTCTTTTTAATTCCGCTCGGACAGAGTCGCTGGCGCCAGCTAGTTATAAATGGGGATGCTTGATTGAATCTCCGGAATAGCGTAACGGATCTTGATGAAATTTTGACAGATGTAAAACTACTAAGTTTTTTACAATAGCGCGCGGACGAAGTAGCGGGCGACAGCTCGTAGAAGATATATTTTTAAGCATGGGATGAGAGCTTCAACTAGAAACGTAGATTTTCTAAAGAGTTTGTATTATTATCTGAAAGAATAAATGTAAATAAGGTGTATTCTTCATTTCTGGTTAGCCTCGGTGCAGTGATAATTGGTGAAGGGATATTGAAGTTGCACGTAAGAAATGTTGATGGGCGTCGTTGAACACCTCGGTTATCCAGCTCTTTCTTTGCCTTTCTTTTGTTTTAAAAAAAATAGGCATCTTATTTTTAAAACATTTATTTCCATTTTTACACATCAAGATTTTTTTTATTCCTTATACATTGATTTTATAATTATATCATAATTTCGCATAATAAGAATTAAAATTATTAATTTCATATACTTTGCATAATTATAATTGAAACTTATCTAACAAAACTATAAATCCTAACAAAAAATGTACGTAAACAAAGCAAAATATTTACATAACAATCTAAAATACTATTTTATCATGTGATAAAATTTTAAAACAACAATTTAATATTTTATCAAATAACAATTTGTTTCTGTGACTTGAGAATGTGATGTTCTGTAAGAAATTAAAAATTAGCCTTAAAAGCTTATGCGTACGTTAATGCAAAATAATTAAATACAATATCTGAGTAAAAATTTTAAAGATAAAAATACATTTATTATAAGAAATATGAGGCATGTAGAAGCAAAAACAATTATTTTATAACTTCAAATCGATATTATGTTAGAAACAGTAGTTTAAAAAAGGTTTCAGAATAATTCTGTATCGTTTGATTTGTTATCGCTTTTAGTAAATTAATATTGGTTTTGCTAGTGCATGCGTCACAAACAGAGGTGCCGAGAGACAGCATCGTCAACGTAACGACCGAATACCGACAATCATCTATTCGCGGTCTCTTGGTAAACAAAAGCGTTGTGAGAAAATCAAAGATAGATCTTATGCTAGTCGTAGATACTTGACTTACAGTAACATGGCTATATGCGTCATAGTTGCGACACGTCTTATAATGTAAGGGATCCACTACGGGGACGTCGACGAGATGTATTGCGCCGCGGGGCACAATACGTCGACACAAACATCAATAATATAATCGATATACGTACATCTATTTGGTTAATATAATTGTCATGATCGAAGCGATTATGCCAATAAAAATATCTACGATAAACATAAACACTCGCGCCGTAGCCAGCTTGGCGGGCAGACATTCCCGATATACTCTTACCTCAACCTCAATGCGCCTCACTCGCGTCCACAAAATCCATATATTTACGACGATAAAGTACTCTTAGACTTCCATTTCACGCGCAATTAATACGCTTTCTGCATTTCCCAACACACAAAAATCTTATCATCTTCACTCCTCGCTTGCTCTTCAATATTGATTTTTGGACGCATTTCACTGCCTTTACCCTTCTTCAATTTTCTGCCACACCCAACATTCAATACCAAAATAAATCTTACTGTTACATTTGAAGCTTCTGACATATATATATCAAAACAATATTATGCATCATCTCGAAAAATACTTCGTTCCAAAAATCCTTCCCATATTCAACATAAATAGCTTCTAGTCTTTACCATATACAAAATCTAAAGAAGCCCATCTCACAAATCCTGAATGCAACATTGTAAGCTGCTGATTTAAATGTCACATCATTTTAAAAATAATCTTTCAAGATCCATCATCATAGAAAATAACTCATCCCATAAATCCTTCCTGAATCCAAACATCGTGCATTACATGTGAGCTTCTTGCATTTATCGCATCAAAAGAAATATAATTGTGCATTGTCATACAAAATAATCCGTTCTACAAAGCCTTCCTGAATCCCACGATAATATAACCTGAAGCTTCTTGCTTTTATCATCGAAGAAAATCTTTCATTATTTCTCAATGATATAAATTACTTTAATCCACAAATCGAACTATTTACAAATTACTCTTGTGCCTCTCCTCATATGAAAATCCTTCATCGTGCATCATAACACATATACCAAATTATTCCTGAAATACTTTCATATAAAAAAAAAATTACGTAATTCCAAAAAAACTTTCCTGAAATCAACAATGATCAATGTACAATACATATCAATCTTCTACCAAAACAATATTTCACAGTGAATCATAATATATTTATAGAAATTAATTTATCCAAAAAAATCTGCTTGAAATCACCAGTATGATATATATTATTATTATATTTTTTTATTTGAAAACAATATTTAATTGTGCATCATTATACATATATATTATGACATACATAAATCCTTCTTCAATCAAATGTACCAGAAATCATCAATCATTTTGTGCTTTATCGAAGATAATACTTCCCTAACAATGCTTTCAGCATCCTATGTGCATTTAGCATAATTGATTAATTCCCATTATCAAATGCAGAAATTGTCAGTGATAGTAAAGTACAATACTGTTACAATATTCAATATTTATTATGTCTTATCCTGGTATTAATATTCATACATAGTGTACTCCTCTCCTCATCAATCCTAAAGTTTTCCATTGTCATCATGTTTCCATCTTATTTCTTTTCATTTGTGTTGAAAATGTCAATAAAATTTTTATGTCGCAATCAAATTCTCTTCAATATTATCTCATCTGCCGTATTTTCAAAGTTATCGTGTGATGTTTATAGGATTTTAATTTTAATTTTCAATCAAATTACGCGCAATTTTATTGTAGCTTTTGCACATCAAATTTGAACTTGCATAAAAATGGTATGGGCAAGTCCAAATTAGATTTGTCAATACTAAATTTTATTTGAAATGGTCTGAATTTAAATTTAAAAACCTATCAACATACTTGTTCATCAGTTTATATCACTCGGTCCTCATTACTGTGAGTTTCCACTGCTGTGACACATGTGAGCGAGAGAGAGCGACAGGGATGTTATAATGCTATGTCAATACAAGTGTCGCTGCAGTCGAAACCCACAGTTATCTCGTTTTTGTACTTATTTTGTCTTTGTGACAAATTAAAGGTCATTTCCTTGTAAATTTCATATCAAATGCGTAAACAACTTGATTTATTGGCTTTTGCCGTATCTTGCACTTCAACTCCGATATTTATTATAATACAACTAGAAATGTTTTTGTTGTTTTTGTCATACATTTAGGGAATTGCTTCTAAAAGAAGTTTCATAATCACTTATATCTATATACATAGTCATAAAGAAGTTTGAATTGTCAATGTGCACTGGTCTCCTTCCTATTAGCCGCCTAAAGTCTATAAAACACTACTTGAAACTAAAAACAAACATCATCAACACA